ATATCAATCAGCATCATCATCATCATCATCATCATCATCATCATCATCATCATATCATCACATCATCATCATCATCATCATATCATCATCATCATCATCCTCCTCTCCTCCTCCTCCTTCCTCCTCCTCCTCCTCCTCCTCCTCCTCCTCCTCTCCTCCTCCTCCGCCTCCCCTCCGCCTCCGCCTCGCCTCCTCCTCCTCCTCCTCTCCTCTGGCTCCTCCAGTAGCAACAACAACACCATCGCCAACACCATCACAAACGTCATAGTCGTTTATGGCATCATCACCAGCATTCATAGCAACATCAGCATCATCAGCATCATCATCATCAGCAGCAGCAGCATCAGCATCATCAACATCAACAGCATCAGCCTCATCATCAGCATCATCGTCGTCAGCATCATCAGCAGCAGCATCATCACCATCACCACCAGCATCAGCATCATCACCACCACCATCATCACCATCATGATCCACCACCAGCATCATATTGATCATCATCAGCATCAGCATCAGCATCAGCATCCGCATCAGCATCAGCAGCATCATCATCAGCATCATCGGCATCAGCATCATCATCATCATGAGCAGCAGACCTCCTCCTCCTCCTCCTCCTCCTCCACCGCCTGATCACCAGCATCATCTGCATCATCACCGTCAGTATCACCACTATCGACATAATCAACAGCATCGGCGTCGTCAGCAACAACAACACCATCGCCAACACCATCACAAACGTCATAGTCGTTTATGGCATCATCACCAGCATTCATAGCAACATCAGCATCATCAGCATCATCATCATCAGCAGCAGCAGCATCAGCATCATCAACATCAACAGCATCAGCCTCATCATCAGCATCATCGTCGTCAGCATCATCAGCAGCAGCATCATCACCATCACCACCAGCATCAGCATCATCACCACCACCATCATCACCATCATGATCCACCACCAGCATCATATTGATCATCATCAGCATCAGCATCAGCATCAGCATCCGCATCAGCATCAGCAGCATCATCATCAGCATCATCGGCATCAGCATCATCATCATCATGAGCAGCAGAATAACCATCAGGACAATCATCAACATCATCAGCATCAGCATCATCAGTACCAGCATCCTTGAGGCATGTTGAATAGTAGAATCACCTATAATTCAAGCTGCGGCTCTCGTCTTAGCGCCGCGCGCATTCGCCTTAAGAATGAATAGAAGTTTCAAGGATGATCATAGCAAACGTCCCAGAAATTGGGTTTCGGCACGATGTAGGAGTGTCAGGGGGCAACATGTACGTTGATTCATGGTGCTGGAAGATGGTGTTCTGACATAATTCAGGATCGTCAAGACGCAATAGTAACGGTGATTCGCTGAGTTAGAATCCCAGGAATGGTGTTCTGGCACAGCTCAGGATCTTCAAACGGCTTCCCGACGAGTCGCCTCCTTCGGTGCAGAACGAGTCCTTACATAGGGGGGCCTATGACGAGGGAGCGTCGAGGGAGGCTTCATTGCAACATCGTGAATTGAACCTTGGGCTTGCACTGGTCCTCCTCCTTCTCCTCCCTACTCCTCCTGCTCCCGCCTCCTCCTCCTCCTCCTCCTCCTCCTCCTCCTCCTCCTCCTCCTCCTCCTCCTCCTCCTCCCCTCTCCCCCTCCTCCCTCCTCCTCCTCCCAATGCCCCCCCACACCCGTCTCGCAGCCGCCGGCGCCTGGCGCCCCCAGCGCCGCTGAAGCCGCCGTAGGGGAGGTACGCGGGCCTGCGGGGCCGAGCGCGCGGCGCTGCCGCCGCCGGCCCGCCCCGCCGCCCTGCGCCCAGCAGCGGCTGCGCGGGCCGCGGCGAGACACCGCAGAGGTGCACCTGCAGTCGGACTCTTGCCGTCGCTCGGACGTCCATTTCCCGTGCAGTTTTCGGTCTCGTGCGTGCTTTTTGTTGCTCGATGGTCCAGGATCGTCCTCAATGGTTCTCGCCGAGAAAAAATGCACACGTCCGAGCGATGCCAGGTGCACCTGAACCCGGACCTGAGTGGAGAGGACGCGCGAGAGGACGCCAGGCCCTGCCGAGGGCCAAGTTGCCGTGTGAACGCAGAAGGGCGCGGGTCGCGAGACGCAAGACACAGGGGTGCCCTTGATTCGGCAGGGTCGACCTCCGAGTCAGGGCTGACTGGATGGCGCGAAGCACGCCCGCACACCCGGAGGTGTCCTCGGAGCGCTCTGGCGCCTGAGACGCGGGGAAGAAGGGCCAGCAATCTAGAGCAACTATCTTCGCGCTTCGCGCTCAGCGCGAAGCGCGATTGTCTTCGCGCTCTCGCGCCGCCGCCCGTGATACAGGATGAGGGACTCGCGCGGTCGCTCTGAAATCGCCCGGACCGCGAAGCGCGGACCGCGACTAACTTCGTAACCTCGTGGTGGCCCTAGGGCAATGTAGAGGCCTCCTAGATGGGGTCCCGAGTAGATGTGGTCGGAGGATCGCGCCGCATCGCCAATGCATCGCCGATATGTCGGCGATGCATCGGCAATGCATCGCCGACGTCGGCGACGCATCGGCGACGTCGGCGTAGAAAAAATCGGGCTCCACATCTAGCCGCATCGCCGATGCATCGGCAGGCGGCGCGATCCTCCGACCCCACCGACTCCGACCCCATGTAAGAGACCTAGAGCAATGGAGACCTCCCAGACGGGGTCACAGACAACGCCGACACCTCGGCGATGCATCGGCGACGTCGGGGCGGAGAACATAAATCGGGCTCCGGGTCGCGCCGGGTCGCCGATGCATCGGCGGTGCAGCGCTGCCCTCCGCCCGCCAGACGGCCAGAATCCTAGAGAAGCATGTGGTTGCTTCTCCTCCTTGTCCTCCTCCTCCTCCTCCTCCTCCTCCTCCTTCTCCTCCTCCTCCTGCTCCTGCTCCTCCTCCTCCTCCCTCCTCCCTCCTCCTCCTCCTCCTCCTCCTCCTCCTGCTCCTTTTCCGCCTCTCCTCCTCCTCTCCTCCTCCTCCTCTCCTCCTCCTCCTCCTCCTCCTCCTGTTCCTCCTCCTCCTCCTCCTCTCTTCGTTCTCGTCCTCATCATCAACATCCTCCTCGTCCTCCTCGTCTTCCTCGTCCTCCTCCGCCTCGTCCTCCTCCTCCTCCTCCTCCTCCTCCTCCTCCTCCTCCTCCTCACCTCCTCCTCCTCCTCCTCCTCCTCCTCCTCCTCCCCTCCCCCCCCCCTCCCCCCCCCCCCCCCCCCCCCTCTCCTCCTCCTCTTCCTCCCTCTCATTATCCTCCTCTCTCCTCCTCGTCCCCCTCCTCCTCTCCTCCTCCTCCTCCTCCTCCTCCTCCTCCTCCTCCTCCTCCTCCTCCTCCTCTCCTCCTCCTCCTCCTCCTCCTCCTCCTCCGTCTCCTCCTCCTCCTGATCCTCCTCCTCCTCCTCCTCCTCCTCCTCCTCCTCCTCATCCTCCTCCTCTCTCCTCCTCCTCCTCCTCCGTCCTCCTCGTCCTCCTCCCTCCTCCTCTCCTCCTCCTCCTCCTCCTCCTCCTCCTCCTCTCCTCCTCCTCCTCCTCCTCCTCCTCCTTTTCCTCCTCCTCCTCCTCCTCCTCCTCCTCCTCCTCCTCCTCCTCCTCCTCCTCCTCCTCCTCCTCCTCCTCCTCCTCCTCGTTCTCGTCCTCGTCCTCCTCGTTCTCGTCCTCGTCCTCCTCCTCCTCCTCCTCCTCCTCCTCCTCCTCCTCCTCCTCCTCCTCCTCCTCCTCCGCCTCCTCCTCCTCCTGCCGAAGCCCCGCACGGCTTGCCGGACCGTCGCCCGAGGCAAGAATCGCACTCTTGCTCCTGGGGGGGTCCAGTGGGCCGCCCGGGCCCTGCGGCGAGCCCAAGATGGCCCCAACTCAGCACTCACAGGGCACCAAGAGAGCCTCTAAAGGGACTAAGAGTGGGCCGACAGCGCGGGCCAGTCGGCGCCAGACCACAGGACGGCCCCAAGCTGGCCCCGAAATGCAGCAAGATGGTGCCCAAGTGGTCCGAGATGGTCCCAGACAGCCCAACGGACTCCTCCTAGAGGTCACCGCCAGTGGTGGGCTGAGGTCTGCAGGGCGGAGGGTGTGAGTCCAGCTGACCCCCTCCTCATTTGTTCGTCCTGTGGGATCTATGCTCGCGGCTCCCATAAAATGCCCGCCAGAGGGGGGGGTCACAAGCAGTGCACTGGCAGACCCAGCAAAGGCCACTGTAAAACGGTCGACCTGTACTGACAAGGAAAGTTCCACAGGTATATATAGGCCTCCTAGATGGGGTCGGAGTAGATGGGGTCAGTGCGATCCACCGGCGATGCACTGGCGACGTCGGCGATGCATCGGCGACGTCGGCGTGGAGAAAACTGGGCCCCACGTCGAGCCGCATCACCGATGCATCGCCGTTGCATCGGCGATGCGGCACGATCCCCCGTTCCCATCTACTCCGATCCCATCTAGGAGGCCTGGAGCACAGGGGTCGCAAAGTAGCTGGGAAATGCGGGCCCACCTTCGCGGGAGACTCGCCAGGACTGGCCCGAGGTCCTGGCCCCCGTCCTGGTCTCGCCTGGCCAGGCCCAGGCCCAGGGAGGGCCGGGCCTCGGGGCCCCTGCTTCTGAGAGAGGCTTGCAGCTGCTCGAGCTGGGCCCGCCCGCTCGCGCGGCCAAGGCGGCAGCAGCGGCGCAGCAGCAGGCCAGGTGCGACACCCTTCAGCCCTTGGCCTGCGCCCCCTGACTGGGGTCGCTCCCCCTCTTTTCCTGCGCGTGCAGTGGGGCCGCCCCCTCAAGAGCTCACGTGTGTGCCTCCGCCTCGTCCTCTTTAGGGGGCCACATGCGAACCCTACCCCTACCCCCTCAGAAATCGTGAGGGGTAGGGGTAGGGTTCGCATGTGGCCCCCTGCTCTTCGATCCTGGGCAACGGTGAGGCTTCGGGTTGCACGCAAACACCTCCCCGTAGCCCCGGCTGGCCTCAAGAGGCCCCAAGATCTCAACAGCTCAAGCTCCGCGCCCCGAGGGCGCCGCCCGAGGCGGCGCCAAGGGGTGTTGAGATCGCCCCCCGACTGCTCGGGACTGCCGGGGGGGGAGCTGTCTGGGCGCAACCCGAAGCCTTGTCGCGCCTCCTCCTCCTCCTCCTCCTCCTCCTCCTCCTCCTCCTCCTCGATCCTCGGCAATCTGGAGGTAGGAAAGGGGTGTGGCATAAAGGGGTGTGGTGCCCATCGTGGACGTAGAGGTGTGATCTACGATAGGTATCGCCAGATTCAGCATTCGCACCACACCCCTTTATGCCAAATCCCTGTCCGACCTTCATAGAGACCTCCTGGATGGGGTCCGCGTAGATAGGGGTTGGAGGACCGCGCCGTATCGCCGATACATCGGCGATACATCGCTGATGCATCGGTAATGCATCGGCGATGCATCGGCGACGCCAGCGTGGAGAAAATCGGGCTCCACGTCGACCCGCATCGCCGATGTATCGTCGATGCGGCGCGATTCTCCGACCCCATCTACTCGGGCCCCGTCCAGGAGGCCCAGACTTCAGGGGCAAGAGGAGGGCGGTGGCCCGACAACTCCGGGCATGGGGTCGTGGTCGTGGACGACGGCCCTGTCCAGCCTCACGTGCAGCGTGTCGGCCACCTCGGCGCGACGCGGCCGCCAGCGCTGGGGCCACCAGGGACTCTGCCACCCTGTCGTCGTCGTCGCCGTCGTCGTCGCCACCGCCGCCGTCGGCGTCAGCGTCCTCATCATCACCATCATTACCATAAGTCATCATCATCATCATCATCATCATCATCATCATCATCATCATCATCATCATCATCAGCAGCAGCAGCAGCATCAGCATCAGCATCAGCATCAGCATCAGCATCATCATCAGCAGCAGCAGCAGCATCAGCATCAGCATCAGCATCAGCATCAGCATCATCATCATCATCATCATCATCATCATCATCATCATCATCATCATCATCATTATCATCATCATTATCATCATCATCATCATCATCATCATCATCATCATCATCATCATCATCATCATCATCATCATCATCGCCATCATCATCATCGTCATCATCATCAGCCGCAGCAGCAGCAGCACAACTCGCAAGCAGCTGGATGCGCATTATCAGCATAGTCGTCATCACGACCCCAACACCATCACCACCATAACCATCATCACAACCGTCATCCTCATCATCATCACCACCACCATCATCACCTTCCTCGTCAACAGCATAATAACATCATCATCAGCACCAGAATTCATCAGCACCAGCACCATCACCAGAATTGCCATCACCGGCGTCGTCGTCTCACCTCCATCACCATCGTCACCGTCATCATCGCCATCGTCATCACCGTCGTTGTGATCACTGGGGCCGACCTCGGGCCCAGCTCCAGCCTCACCTTCCGCGGGCGCGGGCAGGCCCAGACAGCACCCGCCCCCACCCCCCGAAGACAGAAGACAGACATCTGAGCATATCGTTGGGAGCAGGCCTCAAGGTGGAATTCATGTGGACATGTATACCTCTGAAGCCCCTTCGCCTACTGGTCTGGCGACTTGAAGAATAGAAATGGGTGGCACGAGTCTTGGCCAGACGGCATTTGGGATTCCACCCTCTGCCCTCCGCCCAGAGATGAACCCGGCGCGACCTCAATTGGAGGAAAACTTCCTATTGCAGTTCTTGACATGGCTTGGCATTGCTTGGCATGGGTTGGCATTGCTTCGCGTTGTTTGGCGTTGCTTGGCATCGCTTGATATTGCTTGGTATTGCTTGGCATTGCTTGGCATTGCTTGGCAGTGCTTGGCATTGCTTGGCATTGCTTAGAACGGTCGAAAGAAGAATACGAGGCACAGGGGGCGGGGAACCCGGGGAATCCGGGGAACCCGAGGAACCCAGCGAACCCGGGAAACCTGGGGAACCCGAGGACCCCGAGGAACCCGGGGAACACCCGAGGAACCCGAGGAACACCCGAGGAACCCGAGGAACACCCGAGGAACCCGAGGAACCCGAGGAGCCTCCAGGCAATGGGAAAAATAACCCCACGAGACACCAACCTTTAACCAAGTAAGAATCCCAAGAACCCGAGGAACCCGAAGAACACCCAAAAAAACCGAGGAGCCCGAGGAACCTCTGGGCAACGGGCAAAGGAGCCCCCCGAGACATCAACCTTTAATGAACCCGGCACGGCCCTGATTAGGGGAAAACTTCCTATTTCATGGGCGCAGTTCTTTGCATTGCTTGGCATTGCTTGGCATTGCCTGGCGTTGATTGGCATTGCTTGGCATTGCTTGGCATGGTTTGGCATTGCTTGGCATTGCTTTGCATGGGAACCAGAGGAACCCGAGGAACACCCGGGGAACCCAAGGAACCCGAGCAACCAAGGAACCCGACGAACCCGAGGAACCCGAGCAACCTCCGAACAACGGGCAAAGCAGCCCCCCGAAGCACCAACCATTAATGAGCCCGGCGAGACCCCAGGTAGGGGAGGTGGAGTGCTTGGCATTGCTTGGCATTGCTTGGCATTGGTTGGCATTGCTTGGCATTGCTTGACATTGCTCAGCATTACTTGGCATTGCTTGGCACCGGGGAATCTGGGGAACCCGAGGAGCCCGAGGAAACACAGGTCCAGAGGAACCCGAGGAACCCGAGGATCCAAGGGAACCCGGGGAACCCGAGGAGGAAACCTAGGAACCCGAGGAAACTCCGGGCAACGGGCAAAGTAGCCCCACGAGACACCAAAGCCCCTTAGGCAAGCCGAACTGGGGAACCAAGGAATCCGAGAAACCCGCGAAACCCGACGAACCCGAGGAACCAAGGAACCCGAGGAACCCGAGAGGAACCCGAGAGGAAACCGAGAGGAACCCGAGAGGAAACCGAGAGGAACCCGAGAGGAATCCGAGAGGAACCCGAGGAACCTCTGGGCAACGGGCAAAGTAGCCACCCGAGATACCAACCTTCAACCAAGCAAGAACCCCTTTGACGAGCCGAATTGGGGAACCACATAAGAGCCCCTTAGGTAAGCCTATTGGGAAAAACGGCTTTGGGAAAAGCGGCGTGTCGCATAAATCCACACGGAGCCTCCTGGGTCGGCGCTGGGCCCTCCGGAGGCAACTCCTGGAGGGTCTCCGGGGGATCGAGCAAGGACTACTGGGCCTGATCGACGGGCCCTTCAGCCAAATGGGGCACAGGCTTCGGCCGGAGCGGGCGGGAGCAAGCCGGAGTAAGCGGGACTCGGTTTTCGACCACAGATGTACCAGCGCCGATGCTGAATCAACTTCCCAGGAATTGCAACCAAGACCCCTCCCCGCACCCCTTCCCCAGCACACGGAGAGCGCCCGGGGCGGTGCCGCTGGAGCCGCCAGGGGTGTGAGCAGGAAGGCCCAGTGCCGGCCCAAGACATACGCACGAACCTTCGGAAAAGTATGCTCACGCGGTCTCGAGCTTCCCTCCACTATGGCGTCGCATGCACTCGCGCCGTAGGAAGATGTGACACCGTCCCAATGACTAGCTTCCTGTCCCGAACAGCTGTTTGACGGTTGTGGGGCTGGGAGGCGGCCAAGAGAAGCCGAAGAGTTGAAGAAACATGAGCCGCGATGTCTTGGCAACGCCCAGAGCTGAGTGTTGCATCTGGGCAACCGACTGATCTGGGATTTGCTTCACAAGCGTATCCTTGACCACGCCCTGCCATGGCCCCTCGGGGCTTTGACAGCCCGCTTCTCCCCCGTCGACCGGCAATCAATCGGCGCGCCGCCACGCTGGCGGCCTTCGGGCCAGAACTCAAGCCTCCGGGGGGCCGTTCAGGACGACCCAGGCACGCCTGGCACGTTCGAAAGCAACTCACGGAAGCTTTTGGTCGTCCCACGGCGCCTAACAACACGTCCAATCGCGTGCCAAGCGGACATCATGCGTCTCCCTCGCATGGCTCTATTGGGCGCTACTGGTCGCTACTGGGCACTATTTGAGCGATCTTCGGCGCTACTGCGCGACTGCGTGCTGTTCGGGGCTACTTGGCGCTGTTGAGCACTATTGGGCGCTCACCGAAATACATCCAGTCCAGGACCAGCGGATATCTCCATGCTTTACTGTCCGAGGAACGCCCCCGGCGAGGCGCAGCTGCCGGAAAGCACCCTGGCGTTGGAATATATATATATATATATATATATTATATATATATATATATATATATATATATTCGGCGGTGCACACAAGGGGGTAAGGGGGAGGGGGGGAGCCTTCTTAGAAGGCTGCTGCTTCTTGAAAGGCGCGGGCCTCGCATCCACAGACAAGGCCCGCGCCTTCTAAGGAGCGGCCCACTTCTAATCAAGAAGCCTCCCCCCCTTCCCCCATAACCCCCCCCAACTGCGCGTGGCCGGAATCTGCGGGAACTGACGAGGGCCTCGAGGGGGCCCGCTGCCCTATGGGCCTCGAGCGGTCTCGGGAGAGCCTCGAGGGGCCTCGAGGGGGGCGCGAGGGGCCTCGAGGCTCGAGAGGGGGCCTAGGGGGCCACAGCGCTCCGCCGAAGGAGCACGGCACGACGTACCACTGCTCCGCCGTCGGGGACGACTGCCCCACGGCGGCTGGAAAGCTTACACCCCGACGTGCCACCGCAAGGGTGCGTAGAGCCCTGGGGCAGGCTTCCCCGACGGCGGAGAAGTGTATGTCGCACGGTCCTTCGTCTGGATCGGGTCGGGCGAAAGGGGGGATAGCAAAGGGGGGGGAGAATCAGCTCACGTAGCTGATTTTCCCGGCGCCTCCCAGCGCCGGATGCAGCTATGTATCGAGGAATGGGCCCCTCGGTGAGGCCGAAACCAGCTGCATGCAGCAAATTTTGTACCCCCCCCTTTCCCAATTCCCCCCCTTTCGTCCGGCCCGACTGGAGGCCTCCTGGTTGGGGTCGGAGGAGATGGGGTCGGAGGATCGCACCGCATCGCCGATGCATCGGCGATGCATCGCCGACGTCGGCGACGCATCGGCGACGTCGGCGTGGAGAAAGATGGGCCCCACATCGAGCCGCATCGCCGATGCATCGCCGATGCACCAGCGATGCGGTGCGACCCTCCGACCCCGCATACTCCGACCCGATGTAGGAGGCCTAGATCGTCGGCTGAAGCGTGCGCGCCGCGTCACTCCGAGCCGCCAGTCCGGCGCCCCTGCGCGCCTGCACGACCGCACGCTGGACGGAGGCGGCGAACTCGCGGCCGGCGGCCCTCACGCGCCACATGAGGGAGCTCTGCTCGTCCTGGGGCGGCTCGGGGCTGGAAAACCACTTGGGGTTGTTTTTCTATCTGTGGCTGGGGCCGAAAGAAAACGTTCTCTTACTCGGCGTTTCAACATCGGGCGACAGGGGAGGGGGAGGGGGGGGTCTGGCTCCGGAGCTCTGCTTCATGCGACTGTTTGCAGCAGTGGATCCTACGGGGGAGACCCCACCTGCTAGAACCAGGCGCCAAAAACAACCAATATGTACTCCGTGGGGGGGGCGGGGGGCGAGGGCCCGCGCCGATCGGCAGAACAACGAATACGAAAACGCACTTGGGGCTGTTTTTGTGTGTGTGTGCGGCTGAAGCCGAAAAAAATAAATAACCAGGACAATCCTGAAGGCTTGGGGCGGCAACTCGATACCAAACTCACGTCGGACCACTTCGGGTTTACGTGGGGTTTACGCCAAGTTGCATCGGATTCACGTGGGATGAACGTCGGATTCACGTGGGACCTACGTCGGAGCATCGCCGCTGAGGCTGAAACTAACTTGGGATCGACAAATTTGGTAAAGGGGGGGGGAGGGGGAAATAGCTGTTTTCAGCTGGGATGGAAATGGACAATAAGCTCGAGCCCTGCGGCGCCAGATGCCCCCAGAGGACCCCACATTGACATCGAATACTGAGGATGCACCGGTGCAGAGTGCCATCTAAGGAACAGTTTTGTTGCTGCTGCCGGGGCCAACAAAAACATGGGACCGACAAGTTGGTGGGGGACGAAACAAGTGTTTTAGGCTGGGGTGGAGATGGACAATAAGCTTGAGCCCTGCGGCGCAAGATGCCCTCCCGAACTCCTTGAATTAGTATTGAGGGTGCAGCAATGTAGGGGACTCGAGTGGACAGAATCACTCGACTCCCACAAATGATCTACTGTAATCAGCATTGGCTTCGGGAAGGAGGGTGGGATTCGAAGTCCCCCTCCAGCTGGCAAGGGTTCGAAGATACTGTCATCTACTGGACCATCTTCTTCTGTTCGAAGAAGAAAAGACGGTATAAAAATAAATGTGTGGCGCTCCGCGCGGATTTCTTGGATCTGCGCTGGACCCCCTCCCTGGCGCGCGGAGCGCGCCAGAGGCGGCGCCGGAGGCGCCGCCGGGGGGGCCCAGCGCGGATCCAGGAAATCCGCGCGGAGCGTCGAAAGTTTATATCTATGGCGTGTTTTCCCCTCCTTCGAAAGATATTGTCCATCTACTGGACCATCTTCTTCTGTTGATGGGACCGAGAGAACCATCTGGGCCCGACAGCTGTGGGGGACGAAAACTGTGCGAAGGCGGAGGCCCAAAAGCCCCCAAAGACGGCCCGAGAGACACCCAAGACGGCCCAAGAGGGCCCCAAGACGGCTCCAAAAGAGCCCCAAGAGAGGGAACACAGATCGAAAATCCAACAGGCCCCCAAGAGACCCCCAAGAGGCCCAAAAGAAGTCCCAAAACGCCCCAAAACGGCCCCCACAAGGCCCCCACGAGATCTCAACACTGCTCTGCCTGGGGGTCGGCAGAACGGCGCGTGCCTCTTGAATCAGCCTAGAGTTGTCGTTAGATGATGAGCCCGAATAGCCTAGTATCATGTGGATGGATTGGTTCTCCCTCCCGGCCCCCCTTGCCGTATTGCTATGACTCCGGAATGATGAATACAGGATCTGTATTCCGACACAATGAACGACGTTGCTTCCATTCCAGACTCTCATCTCAACCCGCACCCCCCAGGCTCCATCATTCTCATTTTCACTCCGGAATCATACGCCCCTGTGTCAAAATGTTGTGGAGATACGGGACCATGGTCAATGTTTGAACGTGAGGACTCCAAGTCTGGAGCCCGGGAGGAGAGGGGAAATAATCATTGTTATTTTTTCGGAATGATAAAATGAATCAACAAGTTCCAGGACCATGGTTGAATAATTGCGGGTGCCCCTGCTTCAAAACACGAGCGAAAACGGTTGTATGACTGCAAACTCCTAGCCCTCCTCCGTTCGGACTGACCCTGGATCAGGATAAACCAGAGTCTATGATATTGCGGAGGGGATCGTGAACCCAGGCAACACCCCAGGAACATGACGACACCCGTTTTAAAATGTTTCGGGGGGGACATTACGAACCCCAATTAATAATCCCACAACGGTGCAAAGTCAGATCGATACATTTGTACATGTTGTGGGTCCATCCTGGGCCGTTGGGCACAGCGTCCGGGGCGGCACCGCCAACGAAGACTTTGGAATGTTGGAATGGACGGAGAAGGCTAGCAGAATCTGTCCCTTTTTTCCTTGCCCGCTGGATCAGAAAAAGCACGGGAAATGCTGTCGGAGCTCCTCCCCTGTCTGTCCGCCCTTGAAGGGAAAAAGAGCAACACACAAACAGGAGAGGCCAGGCGAGTGGCCACAGCCCAAGACAGCCCGACGACCTGGGGGCGGAGCAACAACAAAAAAAATGCGAGGCCCGGCCCGAGAGCTACCCGCACTAGGGTCCGCGGGCATGAGCCCAGGTGGCCAGCTGGGGCAAGCGAGAAAGATCTGGAGGGCGACGCGAGAACCAGAGGATAAGATCGGGAATGATGGCCGATGGGGCAGCGAGGATAAGTCCTGGACGCTGTTGAACTTCTTGTTCACGGCGGCCGTCACTTCTTTCGACTGCCTCGAGGTCAGGAGGTTCGCGACATTGTCGGTCATGTCCTGACGCTCTCTTTTGTCTGTACCATGTGTGAAAACAGCAAAACCTTACACAAGCATACCTATGTGTATATGTGTATGTATACCGATGTGTATGTGTTGCATGTCCCAGTGTGTCAGTGTGTGCGTGGGTCAGCTGTCAGTGTGTATGTGTTCGTGTGTGTTTGTGTATGCTTGTGTGTGCTTGCGTATGTTTGTATTGCGTGTGCCTGTGTTTGTGCTTGTGCATGCGCCTGTATGTGCTAAGGTGTTGTTGTGGTGGTTGTAGCTGTGGTTGTGATTCTAGTTTTGTGTGTGACTGTGCTTGTGGCTGTGTTTGGTTGTGTGTGCTTGTGCTGCGTACAGCGGGGGCCCGACCACAAGAAACCTTCCACAGGAAACCCAACCCTGAGACCCCAGGGCGTCCATTGATTTTGGTATGGGAACGTCGCGCTTCATGGCAAAACCAGCGAAACCCAAGAAACCCAGGGCACCCTGGAGGCAAGAAGGGTGTTTCTTGGCATGGGTCTCCACTGTATGTTTGTGTGTGGTGAGTGTGAATGTAAGTGTAAGTATGAGTGTGAGTGTGAGTGGGAGTCGGAGTGGGAGAGTGAGTATGAGTGTGAGTGCGAGTGTGAGCGTGAGTGTGTGAATGCGTGAGTGTGTAAATGTGTGCGTGTGTGAGTGTGTGTGGGTGCGTGTGAGAGTGTATCAGTGGGTGAGTGGGCGTGTGCGTGTGAGTGTGTGTGTGCACGCGTGTGTGTGTGTGTGCGTGTGTGTGAAAGAGTGTGCGTGTGTGTGTGTGTGCGTGCGTGCGTGCGTGATGCGTGCGTGCGTGATGCGTCCGTGCGTGCGTGCGTGGGTGTGTAGTTACGTGCGTGCGTGCGTGCGTGCGCGTGCGCGTGTGTGCGTGTGCATGTCCGCGTGCGCGTGCGTGCGCGTGTGCCCGTGCAAGTGCGTCTGCGTCGTGGGCGTGTGCGTGCGCGTGCGCGTGCGCGTGCGCGTGCGCGCGTGCGTCTGTGCGTCTATTATGCGTCTGTCTGTCTGTATGCCTGTCTGTCTGTTTGCCTCTGTGTGTGCGTGTGTGCGCGTGCGAGATTTGTTGTGCATCTGTGTGGGTTCCTCTCTCGCCCCCCCCCCCGCCATCAAGGCCACCTCGTTCTCCTCCTCCTCCTCCTCCTCCGCCTGTTCCAAAATTGATCCTAAATCGCCGAAAACAAGAAAGCCACACAGTCGGCTCAGTTTGGGCGAAAAGGGGTAGGGCGCCAATGCGTTTTAAGCAGTCAGCCTGCCGCAGGCGCCGATCTTTCAGCAAAACAAACTGGGCGAGTCGCGGGATGGGGGCCGCAGGCAGGTTGCAAAATTCGAGCGCAACTTATCGAAGACGGGCGCAAACACCATTTTCCTTCAACGGACAACCTGCCGCAAGCGGCAATACTGGTGCGAAGCTAAGCAAACTGGCCCAAGCGACCTTTTCTGTGGCGACAGTTACGCTGTTGGTTGCCGCCCCATCGGCCGCGAGGTCTCGCCTGGACTTGCGTACAACTCCACTCCACTGGATCTTCAAGGAGCCCACACAAATCGAGGCAGTTGCGCAAATGGTAGCCCCCCCAGGAGCCGCGAGGTCTCGTCCAGATGTGCGCAGATACATATAAGAGCAAAAAAAATATGAATAGTGATAACGTTATCATTAATAATAATGACAATGCTAACGGTAATGATAACGAGAAGTGCAGTATTATGTGTAAAACTACGACTGCAAATAATAAAAGCAATCAGGATAGTATGCATTACTGATCTTAAGTATGATAGTTGAACGATTGATAAACATGATAAGAATGCTAGCAAGAACAATAATAGTAGTAGTAGTAGTAACACTAATAATAATAACGATACTAATAACAATTACAATAATAACAATGACGATGATACATGTATATCCACCCCGCGTGACCTCCCAGGAACTCACGACAATGGTGACACGTCTCCCAGGAGCACACGGAGGTCAAGGTTGCGCAGATGGCACCCGCACAGGGAGCCGCGAGGTCTCGGCTGGATGTGCGCAGTCACCCAAGGAGTCCACGCAGAGGGCTGGGAGCTGGGCAGCTGGCAGCCCCCAAGGGAGCCGCAAAAAGTCTCGCCGGGATGTGCGTGAACTCGGCTACGCTGGACCTCCAGGGAGCTCACAAAAGCGGCGACGGCGGCGCAATTCACAGCCCACCAGGGAGGCACGAGGTGCCCCGCTGAACCTCTCAGGAGCTCACGAAGCTACCTGCAGTCGCGCAAGTGGCCCACCCCCCAGGAGCAGTCAGGTCTCTTCTGGATGTGCGTACAACTCTACTCCGCTGAACCTGCCAGGAGGTGACGAAACTGGCGACAGTTGCGCAGTTGGCAGCACACGAGGGAGCTGCGGAGGCTAGTCTGGATGTGCGTACATCTCCACTCCGCGAGACCTCCCAGGATCTCTCGAAAATGGCGATACCTACGCGGTTAGCAGTCCCGCAATGAGCCACGAGAATTAGCCTGGATGTGCGTACAACTCCACTCCGCTGGACCTCTCACGAGCTCACGAAAGCGGCGCAACCTGCGCACTTGGCAGACGCCCAAGAAGCCGCGACGTGTCGCATGGGTGATCGGAAAAACAGATGCAAGTGAGTTGCAGTTCGTGCTTGACTCGGGCACGACGGGAGGGACATGTCTGCAAGTGACAGCGCGTTCTGCGGATATGACGAGACCACCGCTGTTGCAAAGTATTGTCACAGCTCCTTGGGCGTTAGCCACAAGAGGAGGGAAGCGACTGCAAATGCGACAGTGGTGACAGCTGCGCAGGTGGCAGCCCCACAATGGGGGGCGCGAGCTGTCATGCTGTCTGTGTCGAGCCAGTCCGCGTCGCTGCACAATACCCGCCCCAAATCACTCGCGCTCGCAGCGGCCGTGATTGCCTTAGCTCCGCTACAACTGCGAAGGACAAATCTACCACAATTGAGCTCTCGGGATTCTCGGGTCTCGCGAAGCCCAGGTAGCTGATGATGCATGATGTATCTGGACGCCCGAAATGGGTACGGAATACATGGGTACAATGCCCAACAACAACTGTTGTCCAAAACTCAACAGCGGCCGCTGTTGGGCAGGCGGCCTTCTGCCTCAAAAGGACAACGTCCGTGGCGACACCGACAGCGAGTTCGTCTTCGTACCCATGCTTTCCGTACCCACGTCGATCGTCCCGAATATATGGGCCTTTTCGAAGCCAACCGAGGGTCCTGCAAGGACCAGATCTCCGGAGGCTGCGGCCGCCGGGGGTGGGAGGGGCTCCCGCGCGGCGAGGGGTCTGGTCGGTCTGAGCAGGGACAACGGGCAAGGAGGCAGAGGTGAAGACAGGGTATACAGTCAACCCGTATCGTAAGGATGCGAGATAAGGATGCGAGGGCCTTGGAGGGCCAGGGTGGCGCTTTTCGAGCGAGGTTGGCCGGCGAGAGCTGCTCAGGATGGACCGAGGGGGCAAGGAAGCAAGGGGTACCCTTGGGAAGGTCGCCCATCCTTACCATGCGGGTCGACCGTGCGGGCCTGGAACGTGCAGGAGGCCCACAGGGGCCCCAGGACCCGCAGGGCACGCCGGCGCCCAGGGTCGGCCCCCTCGGACCAGAAAGGGGCAGGCAAAGGGAAAAGGCACCTACACACACACACACGCCTCACAGACGGGACGGGTTGGCGAGGAGGGAGGGAGAGGGAAGAGGGGGTACGGCGGAGGAGGGGAGAGGCGGAAGGGAAGGCGCGACAGTTCGAGAGGGCAGAGAATCCACCCCCACATTGACCACCCCGACAAGCGAAGCCGTTCAGCAAACGCACCCAAAGAAAGGATCGAACAGGGCAGGGCTGATCCGTAAACGCCCAGGGCCCTCTGGCAAACGCCAGTGATCGGGTCCGGGTGGCTTCTCCTCCCGTGAAGCTACCACTGGTGTGTTTTTTGTGTGTGTGTGTGTTGTGCTTTGTTTGTTTTTTGTGTTGTTGAGTGTGCTTTTGTGTGTGTGTGTGTTTGTTGCGCGTTCTTCTTTTTGTTTCTCCCCCCCACTGTGAATGTGTGCGTGTGCGTGTGCGTGTGCGTGTGCGTGTGCGTGTGCGTGTGCGTGTGCGTGTGCGTGTGCGTGTGCGTGTGCGTGTGCGTGTGCGTGTGTGCGTGTGTGCGTGTGTGCGTGTGTGCGTGTGTGCGTGTGCGTGTGTGCGTGTGCGTGTGTGCGTGTGCGTGTGCGTGTGTGCGTGTGTGCGCGTGCGCGTGCGCGTGTGCGTGTGCGCGTGCGCGTGCGCGCGTGCGCGTGTGCGTGTGCGTGTGCGTGTGCGTGTGCGTGTGCGTGTGCGTGTGCGTGTGCGTGTGCGTGGTAACCAAAACACACATACAGTATGTGTGTTTTGGTTACCTCTGCGCTGCCGCGGCGGAGCCATCCTGGAGCATGCCCCCGAACGCGTCCTCGAAGGCATCGATGTGCTCGAGCAGCTTCTGCGGGCGGCAGGCGGGAGGGCGGGCCGCGCAGCCGACGCGCGCGGAGAGCCAGGAGGGCCGCGCGAGCGCCCCAGCCCGGCGGACGTCCGCAGACCGGGGCTCGCGCTGAGCGGTGCGCTTCGTGATCGCTCCTCCTCCTCCTGCTCCTCCTCCTCCTCCCCCTCCTCCCTCCTCCCTCCTCCCCCTCCTCCTCCTCCTCCTCCTCCTCCTCCTCCCCTCCTCCTCCTCCTCCTCCTCCTCCTCCTCCTCCTCCTCCTCCTCCTCCTCCTCCTCCTCCTCCTCCTCCTCCTCCTCCTCCTCCTCCTCCTCCTCCTCCTCCTCCTCCTCCTTTCCCGTCGTGGTGTCTTCGCTCTGCCTCTGCACCGGAACGGAACCGAAGCGAGAAAGCGGCCCGCGAGAGCACCAAAGCACCGTTTCGCCCGAGCACTGCCGCAAGCGGCTGCTCCGCCGGTGCCGGCCCCTTCAACCCGCAAACGCCGGAGCTCACGTTCGCGTGGGGTTCTCTGGCTCGACGGCGAGCGAGGGGGGGAAGTGAGAACGAGAAAGCCTTCTCAGAAGGCGGCGGGGATTCTCAGAAGCCATCGCGCCTTCTGAAAGGAGTTCTGCGTCTTCGCTGAAGGCGTAGAAATTGCTTCAAGGGCCAGGGGATGTCCGAGCCTTCTGCGATGGCCTTCTCCTTCTAACTAACACCCCCGGGCTCGCCGCCGACTGGCTCTCGACGCTGTGTGCTGCGGATCTGGGCCACCGCGGGGCGAGGCGGGAGGGCGGGAAGCAGCGTCGGGACGGACCAGGGCTGCCCGACCCTGCTTGTGAAGCTCCCGAGCAATTCATTGCACGGGACAGGGGAGGGGAGGGGGCGAGAGGAGAAGGAGAAGTGAAGGGGGCAATGGGCCCATAACGTAACAAAGAAGGACGGAGTCCCGCAGGGTTGGTTCGAGATGGCCCCCTCGAAGAAAGGAAAAAAAAAAAAAAAAAAAAAAAGCTAACCCAGGCTGGGTCGCCCCCTCCTCGTTGGTCTGGTCAAAAGGTCCCTCCTCCTTTGTGGAGGGCAGACGACGTGCGAGGGAGCGAGCACGAGACGCCCATAGCACCGATACGTGGATAGGGGGGCAACAGACCGATTGGCGGCATGACCGGAGTGACCGCCGAGACGGTTGCTGTTCTGACCTGACTTCCCAGCTGGACGGGGTGGAGAGGGCCCAGCAGGGAGCAGGCGGAGGACGGACAGGAGGGAGGAGGATAAAGGAGCCCAGGGACAAACAAATAAATTCACACAAGTTCCAGGATGCTTGATAGTTGCCCATATTCTCTGGGTTTTCGTCTCCCCCTTCACTTCCCATAGTTTCCTATATTTTCATGGGAGTCGACGACTATCTGCGTCTGTAGTTTTCCCCCTCCTGAGAGGGGAGGGGATGGGAAGGGGCAGAAGGACGGGGGGGGAATTCTATGCCTTGATTGGACGGGCAATAGCCCGGCTGGACGGGCCATACCCGGCAAAGCTGGGCCATACCCAGGTTGGAGCCTTCAAAACGCCCAGAACACTACGCACACACGAACAACAAACACAGAAAAAAAGCATCAAACCCCAAACAACAAACCCCAATTCCCAAACACCAAACGACAAACCTCAAACACCAAACACCAAACCCCAAACACCAAACACCAAACCCCAAACCCCAAACACCAAACACCAAACACCAAACCCCAAACCCCAAAGCCCAAACCCCAAACCCCAAACCCCAAACCCCAAACCCCAAACCCCAAACCCCAAACACCAAACAACAAACCTCAAACACCAAACACCAAACCCCAAACACCAAACACCAAACCCCAAACCCCAAACACCAAACACCAAACCCCAAACCCCAAACCCCAAACCCCAAACCCCAAACACCAAACCCCAAACACCAAACACCAAACACCAAACCCTAAACACCAAACACCAAACCCCAAACGCCAACCCCCCAACACCAAACACCAAACCCCAGACACCAAACCCCAAACAAAAAACACCAAACACTAAATCCCAAACATCAAGACCCTTAACACCAAACACCAAGCACCAAACACCGAACTTCACCCTCGTCGTATTCCTCTGTCCTCCTCCCTCATTTCTCTTGGTTATCCTCCCTCCCCCTCCTCGTCGTCGCGGGACTTACAGACGGCCCGCAGGCAGGACGAGGAAGAGGAGGGGGAGGACGAGGAAGGGGAGGAGGAGAAGGAGGAGGAGAACGAGGAGGAGGACGAGGAGGAGGACGCGGAGAAAAGGCCGAGGAACACCTTTGGCTAGAGAGGGCTGTGATTCCCGAACCGTTCCTGAGGTCAGTGTCTAGGGACCCTGCTGTGGCCGAGGTTCGCCGTGGCCGTCAAAGTCCCTTCACTCTCTGTATCGGATTCTCTGTGGCTCATGTGGGGGGGAAAGAAAGAATCCTGAGGGAAACGAGTCCTGGAGGTTTTTCGTAGCTTTTTCGAGCTCCGGGGGCCTCAGCGGACCCACGGGTCATTCTACAATTCCTGAGGGTATCTTCGGTGTTACTAGGGTTCCGGTAATGTAAGATTATTTCAGGGTTCCTTTGAATTCGCTGCAGGACTCTACAAGATTCCCGAGGACTTCCTCAGGATTCTAGTTCGGCGCATTCCTTCGAATCCCTAATGATCCTCAGGGGTTCCTTAGGAAGCCTGCGGATTCTTTGGGTTTGCGCTAGATTCCTTGGGATTCCTCGGAGATTTGCGGTATTCCTTCGGATTTACTTAGGCTCGTTCGCGGTTCTTGTAGGACTCATATACGATTCACATAGGAATCGCATGCATTTCATAAAGGAACCGTAGACGAGCCACATAAGAATCGAATACGGTTCACATAAGCATCGTAAAATATTCACACAAGAACCGCGTACACGAGTCGCATGGGATCCGTATACGATCCGCAAGACATAGGAGTTCGATGCGAATCACATGGGAATCGACGCGATGCACATAGAAAACGTATGCGATACACGAAAGACCTGTATACGATTCACATGGATCTATAGACGAATCACATTGGAATCGCGTAACCTAAAAACCGTAGACGACTCATACAGTTCACATAGCACGCGTATACGTTGCACACGGGAGTCGCCTCCGACCCACATTGGAATCGTATACGTGTGGCACAGCTTCCGTATACGATTCACACAAAGAGCCGCATACGATTGCCGTACAACTCGTATACGATTCGCGCAGGAGGTCGTATGCGGACACACAGGAACCGCATGCGAAAAACACAAAGAATCGTAGACGAGTCACATCGGTGTGCACGACTCACATGGGATTCGTATACGACTCACATGGGATTCGTATACGATTCGCGTAGGAGCCGCATACGATTCACATAGAACCCGTTTAGGATTCCCATAGGAGCCCTATACGGCCCACACCGGAATCGTATACGCCTCAAATCAGAGTCGTCTACTTTTCATACAAAAAAAGCCGCATGCGATCTGTATACGTTTCACACTGGAACCGTATACGATTCACATAAGGCTCATCTACGATTAACATAGGAATCGTGTATGTTTCACATACGAGTCGTCTACCATGCACGTTGGGAATGTAAACGAGTCAGATCGGCTTCGTAGATAAATCGCAGAGGAATTCTTTACGGTTCGAAAAGGCATTGCACACCATTCCCATGAGAGTCGTACATGTTTCACATTGGAACCGTATACGAATCACATTGAAAACGCAAACAACTTACATCGAATACTCAGATAGATGGATAAACGATTCACATAGGAGCCGCCAGCTCAGAATATTTGTGCTGCAGATGGGTTGTCCCCAGGTTGTTTGTCCCAGGAAACCATGCGGGCCCCTTCAGGGCACACCACTGGCACTCCAGACTTTGCAAAGATGCCTTGCAATCGAAGTCAAGTGCGGAAGGCCTTCCGAAACTTGCATTCTAGAGGGTGGTCCCCAGGGGTATAATCCGTCCAACTGGGGAATAGCCCATCCAACCGGGGTACAAACTACTGCCGGGGGGAAAGGGGCAGGAGGGAAGGAGGAGAAGGAAGGGCGGAGGGGAGTGGAATGGGCAGGAGGTGCTGGGGGGGGGGGGCGGAGGAAGGGGGGAGAGGACAGGGCAGAGGGAGGAGGGCGGGCAAACCCTGACCATCCCTCCCGAGCCTCCATGCGCGAGTACATGCTAGTCAGCCGCTCGACGAGAATCTGCTCGACGCCAGGGAAGACCCTGCTGGAGCTGGCCTGGGGGGGGCCGCAGGCCTCCTCCTCCTCCTCCTCCTCCTGCTCGTCCTCCTCCTGCTCGACCTCCTCCTCGCTACTCCTCCTCTTCCAGCTCCTCCTCCTCCGCCTCCACCTCCTCCTCCTCCTTGCTCCTCCTCCTCCTCCTCCTTATCCTCGTTCCTCCTCGTCTTCCTGCTCCTCCTCCTCCTCCTCCTCCTCCTCCTCCTCCTCCTCCTCCTCCTCCTCCTCCGCTTCATCCTCATCCACCTCTTCATCCTTCTCCTCCTCCTCCCCCTCCTACTCATCCTCCTCCTTCCCCTCCTCCCTCCTCCTCCTCCTCCTCCTCCTCCTCCTCCACCTCCTCCTCCTCCTCCTCCTCCTCCTCCTCCTCCTCCTAATCATGCTCCTCGCTACTCCTCCTCCTCCTCCACCTCATCCTCCTCCACCTCATCCTCCTCCTCCTGCTCCTCCTCCTCCTCCTCCAGTCCTTCTCCGTATGTATAACTTTTCCCTGTCGCACCCCGAGGCCAGTTTTTAGGGCGGGCTGGGCGTTTCGCCTGAGCCTTCATGTCTGGCTATGAGGCTGAAAAAGTGATAACAGCTTCACAGATAGAGGGCGGGTGGTTTTCAAAGTGTGGCTCTCGCCTTAGCGCCGCGCAGATTCGTTTTAAAAGCGTACCAGAGTTCCACGATTTGAGAGCGGGTGTTTTCAATATGTGGCTCTCGCCTTAGCGCCGCGTACATTCGTTATAACAATTGCAAGAGCTTCAGACAAAACGAGGTCGGGTCGTTTTCAAAATGTGGCTCTCGCCTTAGCGCCGTGCACTTTCGTTTAAAAATTGCCAGGGTTTCACGGATTAAGGGCGGGTCGTTTTCAAAATGTGCCTCTCGCCTCAGCGCCGCGCACGTTGGTTTAAAAAGCTGCAAGAGTTTCACGGATTCGGGGCGGGTCGTTTGGTCGTTTCAAAATATGGCTCTCGCCTTAGCGCCGAGCGCACTCATTCATAACATTCATAAGAATTTCACGGATTCCCAGAAAATCGTCCAAGAAAGTGCGTTGAGGAAGGAATCAGGCTCATGCGGGTGCAATAATTATGTTGTTTCGCGGTGTTGAAGTCCCAGAAAATGGCGTTCTGGCACGATTCTGGATCGTCAAGACGCAGCAGTTAGGTTGATCCGTGGCGTTGAAATCCCGAGAACAATGTTTTAGCACGCTTCAGGGTCTTCAAACGATTGACTTACAACGAAGCAGCTCCCTCCATGGGAATGAACCGGTGTAGGGGCATATGAAGAGGGAGCTTGGAAGGAGGGGTTATTCCAACATCGTTGATGACTCTTGGGTTTACACTGGTCCTCCTCCTCCTCATCCTCCTCCTCCTCCTCCTGCTCCACCTCCTGATCCTCCTCCTGCTCCTCCTGCTCCTCCTCCTCCTCCTCCTCCTCCTCCTGCTCCTCCTGCTCCTCCTTCTGCTCCTTCTGCTCCTCCTCCTCCTCCTCCTCCTCCGCCGTCGCCGCCTCCGCCTCCGCCTCCGCCTCCGCCTCCGCCTCCTCATCCTCCTCCTCCTCATCCTCATCATCCTCCCCCTGCCGGTGGCCTCCCGCATCCTGTAAGGTCTCTTCATTTCTTCTCATCAGGAACGCACGGGGCGCTGGTGAGAGAACCCCTCACGATGAGCACCCTCACGAGACCACACCTGATTGGGAAACAGGGCGACACCCACACGTCCTTCTTGCATATTTCGCCCACCGTTGCTGCCCCCATCTTCCTGCCCCATGATGGTACCCCAGTGTTCTTGCCGCTTCCCAACGCCAAGCAGTACCATTACGTATCGATTCGTAGAATGTCGTGTCACACAGTGGTTGCGCGTAGTTTGACCGTGTGTTCGGGCTTTCCTGTGCCCGCTTGCCATGCTCACGGCGTCGGCCCTTGCACTGCCCACTCCTCTGCCTTACAGTCAACCCGCAGAGCAGGGATGCGCGAAAAGGATGCCAGGCCCGTGGACGCCCCTTTCGAAGCGCTTCGCGCGGGGCGCGGCCAACGAGAGTGTCCAAGGATGGACCCAGGAAGCGGGGATGCAAGGGTACCCTTGGGAGGGATGCCTCTCCTTCCTCTGCGGGTCGACCGCCGGATGCTCGTGCTGCGCGGAGCCTTGCCCCGCCCAGCGGCACCATCCGCCACTGGCCGGCTGGGCCTCATCGTGCCTGCATCTCGATCTGGCCGCGTGCGGGGGCGGGGGGGGCGAGCCTTCCCCGGTTGGAACGCTTGCCCATCCCCTATCTGGAAGTAAAAAAACACAGCATACAGCATACACAGAAACTGTTGGAGCTCCGCGCGGATGTCTTGGATCCGCGCCAGCGGTAGGGTGCGGGGGTAGGGTGAGGGGGGGACGGCTTCTTGAAGGAGGCTGCTCCTTAGAAGGCGCCAGCCCTGCATCTCTAGAGAAGGCCCGCGCCTTCTGAGAAGCAGGGGTGCTTCTGAGAAGCCTTCCCCCCTCCCCCTATCCGAATCCACCTCCAGGAGAGCCCACAATCGAATCGATAAGCTGGATCGGCGGTTGAAATGGATCGGATCGGCGGAAATCGGCTGCCGAGTTGGGATAAGTCGAATCGGCGGAAATCAGCAGGCCAGCAGACCTCCATTGAAACATCGGAATCCAGATCGGAAGCCAGTGCCGAATCGAGTCGAAATCGAAGACATCGACATCGAATCGCATCGAAGCGGATGCGTCGAAATGAGCGCTGGCCCCCTCCTCGCCATCGCTCGGACATCCATTCCATGTGCGGTTTCTGGCTTCGCGCCTGTATTTTTAGAAAGGTGGTCCTCGATTCGGCGGCGAGCGAGGGGGGGGGGAAATGAGAAGGAGAAGGCCTTCTCAGAAGCCGGCGCGCCTTCAAGAAATCGTGTCTGCCTTCCGGGAAGGCTGACAAAAACTTCTCTGACGGCCAGGGGACCTCCGAACCTTCTGAGAAGGCCTTCTCCTCACTTCCCCCCCTCGCTCGCCACCCATCGATGGTCCTTGCCGATTTAATATTATTATATAATAAAATATTCTTTAAGAGAAAAAATAATAACAAAAACGAAACGGCACACGTCCGAGCGCTGCCACGCCTCTGCGCGTGGCGGACCTCCTGCTCGCGCCCGGCGCTGCCGACCCGCCGACCGCTCTGTCATCACTGCGGCCCCCGCGGCGCTCCCGCCTCTCCCCCCCCTCACGGTGCGCTGCCCCGGCGCCTCCCCCCCTCTGGCCTCTCGGGGGATCGTCCGACCCCGGGCCAAATCCAGACCGGGGCCAGCCAGGCCCGGCACGATCCTTCGAGGTCCTGCGGCCTGCAGGGCCCTGCAGGATCCGATCCTGCACCCCGAGCCCGCGTTCGGTGCACCCGTGGTCCTGCAGCATCCCGCAGGATCCGGCGCCCCGACGGACCCCCGCTTGCACTGACCCCCGCCTCTTCAGCCCCGAGGCCTCTGAAGGGGCCCCAGGACACACCAATAAATACACACCAGTAAAATGACTCCCCATATTTTCCATATCTTCTGGGCTTTTGTCTTCCCGCCCAATTCCCGTATTTCCCATATTTTCCTGGGAATCGACGATTCATTGTGTCTGTGTGTTTTTTCCCCTCCTGAGTCTCTCTGCCCCCCCCCCGCTTCCTCCTCCTGTGCCCTCCCTGGGGAAGGAAGAGAGGCAGGTACCGATACCGCTACGGCCGGACCCGGGCCAGGAGAACACCCCTCCAGAATATGAGGCCCTCCGCCGGCCAACGCACACACACACACACACACAGAGAACATCCAAGGGTACCCTCCCCAGGATGCACGCGAGCGTCCAACAAGCACGAAGAACACGAAAAAGTACCCTCTCCGAACCGACCTCGATCCCATGCCTCGGTCCGTCTGCACCCCGTGGACCTCTCCCGTGGTGCGCTCTGGCCAGCATCTCGAAGCGAGCCCAGCCGTGGCGACGAGGGACGGGCAGCGGCATCTCGGCGGCGAGCGAGGGGGGGAAAGCGAGACGGGGAGAAGGCCTCCTCAGAAGGCGGCGGGGCTTCTCGGAAGCCCTCGCGCCCTCTGGAGAAGCTTTCCGTGCCTTCGGGGAAGGCTTGGAAAATGCATCAGAAGGCCTGGCAACTCCCGAGACTGCCGGGAAGACCTCCTCCTTCTCGCGGAACCTTAGGTCGGGCATGCCCCCCTACAGGCGGAGCTTGGACGAAAAATAAGAAAGACCCAAAAACATGCACAAATAGTGAAAGGATTAACCCAAAAATCGTCACCTGACTATTTTTGACTATGCTTGAATATTCCCCCTGTGGAGGGACCGGGCCGACTTCAGCGTAACCCTGGGGGCTCGCCGCCGAGCCTCGGCACCCCTTCTGACGGTGCCTCGGACGCGCATTCTCTGGGGACCCGCCTGCGGGGAGGCACTCGCGACACTCGCGCGTCGAAGCTGCGTCGAACGTCCGTCGACTTGAGTCGACCCCGAGTCGACCCCCGAGTCGAAAGTCGAACCCGAGTCGAACCTGAGTCGAGCCTGAGTCGAACTCGAGTGGAACTCGAGTCGAACTCGAGTCGCACTGGGGTCGAACCGCAGCCGAACAGGTCCGTCAGGCGGGCCCCGGGAAGGTCCCCCAAACGAGCATCATCTGGTGTGCCCCTCGCCTGCGCGTCTCTCTCCTCCCCTCTCCCCGCCGAGCCTCTCTGCCCAGCGGCGCGGGAGCGCGGCCCAGACTTCTGCCCGCCTCTTCTCGAGACGGCTGTCCCCGGGTGAGCCCGCCCTGGCATGGACGCCTGCTCGCCTGCACGTTTGAGCGGTTGAGAGGAGAACAAAAACACATAAAAAAACACGTCGTCCATCCCGCCCCAAAAGCAAAAACAAGCTAGCAAAATAAGCAAACAAAAACAAACCAACAAAACAAACAAACAAACAAACAAACAAAAGCGTGCCTCTCCACGTCTGGGCAGGTCTTCCTGGGGGACATGCACGGCCATTGCGTCGGGAGGCAAGCACCGGGAGGTCTTCGCCGGAAGGAGCAACGAGAATCGAGCCCCAGTGGGGGGCTGCTACGCCGGATCAGGCCGCAGGCCGCGGATTAAGCGGGATCACGCCGGATGAAGCGGGACGAGGCCAGACTCGACGGGATGGAGCCAGAAGAGGCCAGGCGTCTGGGACCAGGGCGGAGTCAAAGTTGACCTCCCAGGAGTGGCAGCCGAATCTGGGGCTGGGTCTTCCTGAAAGGAGTGCAGGGGCATGACGTCGGCGCGCACCTACGACGCAGCGCCGTGCGAAAAAGCGGCACTCCTTCCCTTCACGCTGGCATAGGTTCCGCTTGGCAAGGCTGTGCGAGGGGAGGGGGAGGAAGAGAACGTGCGTCGGGCCCAGGCCAGCGAACTTGCCCGTGTCGTATAAAGTCATCAACGATGTAGCCGATCCGAGAGCAACAAGCGGCAGCAGCCGACATGGGTGGGAAATGAAAGAGAGAGGAGAGAGAGAAGGAGAGAGAGAGAGAGTGAGTGAGAGAGGCAGAGAGAGAGAGAGAGCGGCGAACTAAACCCTTGTCCTCCTCTTCCCCTCCGAAGCAGCGAACTAAAACCTCCTCCTTCCTCTCCACCCCCCAAGCCTCCTTCTCTCTCTTCCAACCATTCCAAATCGGCCTTGCCTTGGCCAAGAAGAGGCACACTGGCAACCGCAAGCAAACGGACGCGCGAATCAACAAGCGAACGACCGTACGAACAGATTGACAAGGAATAGGAGGACGAAGAGCAGGGACACTTGGAGAGAGGAGGACGAGACTGAGGACGAGGATCAGCAGGAGAGGGAGCAAAAACACCAGGATGAGCACATCGGGCAGACTGGTCGACAACACGATTCAATAACAGGCTGAACAAATACCGCGAAAGAACAGACTGGAGCGCACTGAACATAACAAAAGCAACGCAAGAAATCAGCACAGCAAAACAAAACCTGTGCACACGGGCATCTGTACAAGAATGAAGAGACAGAACTAAGCTGAATTGAATGCACAAGAATACGCAATCGCGAAACAGAGCCGAGCAAAGCCAAAGATGCAAACCACGTCTAGCGATCACACACTCACACACACACACACACACATCTACACGCACACACACACACACACTCACACACACACACACACACACACACACACACACACACAACAAAGGCACAGCAACGGCCACATGATAAGCAGCAGGGGTGGCTGCAAAGACAGAGACGAGGAAATCGCAAAAAGACAAGGACAGAGCTCCCAAAGCTGAGGCAAGCGGGGTGGACGTCGCCAACCATGCACTGGACCAGTTCGATACACGCTCCCGCGCGTGCGGGCACGTGCGGCAGCGTGCTCCTACAGTCGGACCCAGGCCAATTAGAACATCACTCAAACACATGAGACCCTCCGCCGGCCAGAACTCACAGAAGAGCCAAGGGTACCCTCCCTGGGATGCACAAAAGCATCCAACAAACACGACGAACACGAGGGTACCCTCCCCGAACCGACCTCGAACTTATACCTCGGTCCGACTCCATCATATCGAGCTGGTCTGGTACACCAGTTCCGTCGTCCAAGCAGGCCCCCCCCCCCCCCCATGGACGTAGCGGCCTGCCACACGCTGTTGATCGGCTGGATGCCGTCGAGCATGCCGGTCGCGTCCGACCTCGCGAGCCGAGACGACGGCATCAGTTGCCGACAACGCCGCCCCACAACGACGAGTGAGCTTGAGGGGGGAGGGGTGGGTGAGGACGAAGGCGAGAATGAGGATGGTGACAACGACAAGGGCGATATTTTCCCCAGTGCAGCAGCCACGAGCATCTGCAAATGGCGCTGGCAGCATGCACAACACTGAGCCTGTAGTCACGCGAGGCGAGCCAGCACAAGAAATCGGGGCCTGGGATGAGACGGAAAGAGACAGCGCGGCTCGCGCGCGCAGACCAACATGCAGACCACACGAGGATTCGGTGGCAACTCATGGGAGCCTCCCCGAGGCTGAAGCATCGCTATCTCATCGACTTCCAGATGCGAATCGATGCTAATCAACGCTGAAGACGGAATTAAGAGTGTATGCCAAGCTCCCGTGATTTGCGACCGAGGGAGGATGATTATGAGAATGCTGACCTGACCTGTCCACAGTGCGGAGCAACATGCGCATGCGCAAGATGAGACCCAAGGAGCAGACTCTCCTGCAGAACGTGTCCGCTGGGCTGCGCCCTGGCCTCCGCCAGCCCCAACGACGAGACTGGGCGATAGTGGGGACGAGGCGGAGGAAGAAGGGAAACGGAACCGATGAGGAGAGAGCAGCAGGAGGAGGAGGTGAAGTGACTCGGAGGGAGAGGCCATCGCAAGATGCTCAAGTGCTCGGGGACGCACTGACCCGGGTCAATGCAAACCCGGGTCAAGTAGGTCTGACAAGATCCTGCAAGATCCTGCACCCAAACCCGGGTCAATGCCAAGGATCCTGCAAGATCCTGCAGGATCCTGCAGGATTCTGCACCCAAACCCGGGTCAGTGCGACCCTGGCCCTGCAGGATCCCGCAAGATGCTGACCCCCGTTTGCACTGACCCCCGTCTCGAGGCTCCCGAAGCGCACACTTCACGCCGCCTGCCGGCAACGGAGGCCGCGAGCGGCGGCCTCCAGGAGACGCAGCCCGTCGGCCAGGGCGGGGCCGGGGCGTCCCCCGACCTCGACCCCCCGTGCCCGCCCGGAGCAAGACAGATACCGTGCGCGACTAACCACGGTGGTGGGCGAGGGTCCTGGTCGTATGCTCAGTATGCAGAGCTCTGGTCAGGAGCGGTGGAATCCGACTGGGGGCGGGGGGGGGGAGTGGCATGCGGCCGGACCGAGGGCAGAAGAGCATCCCTCAAGAACACGGTGGTGGGCGAGGGTCCTGGTCGTACGCTCAGTATACAGAGCTCTGGTCAGGAGCGGTGGAATCTGACTGGGGCGGGGGGGGGAGTGGCACACGGCCGGACCTAGGACAGAAGAGCATCCCTCGAGAGCACGAGACCCTCCGCCGGCCAAGCTGAAGAACATTCGAGGGTACCCTCCCCCAAAATGCAGCCAAGAAGGCCCAGCAACCACGGAAAACATTAGGGCATCCTCCCCGAGCCGACCTCGATCCATTCGGGGAGACGTAAGGCTCGGGTTCGGAGGACTCGGCTTGGCCTAGCGGGGCCGCCATGAAAACGACGAGACCCAATCTGAAGTCTGACGCGAGCTCCCGCTGCAAGCATCCCACGAAAACTGGGCGGTCAAAACCCCGGACTCGATCATCTAAAAGCGTCGGCAAACCCGAGTTCTGGCGACCTCGAGTCTTACTTGGCGGCGAACCGGGGGGGGGCGGACATGAAATGGGCCGGGCCTTCTCAAAAGGCTCGGAAGCCCTGCGGCCTTCCAGGAAATGTTCGAAGCCTTCCCCGAAGGCACGGAAAGCTTCTCCAGAGGGCGCGAGGGCTTCCGAGAAGCCCCGCCGCCTTCTGAGGAGGCCTTCTCCCCGTCTCGCTTTCCCCCCCTCGCTCGCCGCCGAGATGCCGCTGCCCGTCCCTCGTCGCCACGGCTGGGCTCGCTTCGAGATGCTGGCCAGAGCGCACCACGGGAGAGGTCCACGGGGTACAGACGGACCGAGGTCTAAGCTCGAGGTCGGTTCGGGGAGGGTGCCCTCGTGTTCTTCGTGCTTGTTGGACGCTCGCGTGCATCCTGGGGAGGGTACCCTTGGATGTTCTCTGTGTGTGTGTGTGTGCGTTGGCCGGCGGAGGGCCTCATATTCTGGAGGGGTGTTCTCCTGGCCCGGGTCCGGCTGCATCGGTCGCCGTCGACGTGCGTTTCCCCGAGCCGTACACGGCGGGGGCCGTGGACAAACGCGCGAGGTGCGCGACCCGCGCGGCCGCAGGCGGAGGAGCTGAGCAGGGACCGACCGTCCCGGCATTCCTATAGGCCTACCACGACATGTCCCTAGAACCCAAGCACGCTCTCAGGGGAAAAAAATGTCCTCGGAAGCCAATCACGCCCTCAGAGCAAAAAAAAAAAAAAAAAAAAACGTGTTCTTAGAACATGAGCCCGACGTGCTAAAGCAAGACGGCCTCAGCCAGAAGTGTCTCAGAAGAGCGCTTCGTGCAGACCGCGAGAGGCTCTTGGAGCAGTCCCTGGTGGGCCTCCGCGCGAGTCAGGACGCTTCGCCACTGCTTTGGGACGACCGAAATGGGTACGGAAAGAATGGGTACAATGCCCAACAACAGTTCCTGCTCATTTTGAACAGGACTCGCTGTCCGCGCCTCTGTTGGTTTGGGACAACCTTTGTTGCTCGGCATTGTACCCATTTTTTCCGTACCCTTATGTCGGGCCTGTCCCCCTGCAGGGGGATTTTCGACGAAAAACAAAAGACACCCCAAAAATAATCAAAAAATGCTCCAAAAATAGTCTGGGGGGTATTCCTAAAAGTATGTTTCGCCTTTTGGGAATATGTTTAAAGGGGTATTTTCATTTTGTCGTCGAAACTCCTCCTGTAGGGGGACACGCCCGACAGAAGGGTAGGGGGCCACATGCGAACCCCACCCCTGCCTCCCACGTTATGTCTGAGGGGGAGGGCGGGGTTCACTTCGCTCGGGAGCTCCCGAGCGAAGTGAACCCCGCCCTCCCCCTCCGAAATCGTGGGTGGTAGGGGTAGGGTTCGCATGTGGCCCCCTAAAGTGATCGTTTTCTTACGCCTTGTTTTGCCTCTCGGCGCGGGGCCTCGCACTCCCCCCCCCCCTCCCCCCCCCCCATGAAATAGATCGTGACCGTTTCTGGCGCCTGCTTCTGGCGCCTGCTTCGAGAAGTGAACCCCGCCCTCCCCCTCAGACATTGAAGGAGCCCCAGGACACACAAATAAATACACACAAATAAAAATATTCCCCATATTTCCCCATATTTTCTGGGGTTTTGTCTTCCCCCCCACTTCCCATATTTTCCCATGGGGGATCGACGATTAATTGTGTCTGTGTGTTTTTTCCCCCCTCCGACGGAACCGTGCCCACGTCGGGCCTCCGACCTGCTGCCGGAGGCCCGCCCGCGCCCCCGGGGGGCCGGCGGCCGAGGGCGGGAGCGCCTCCGGGGCGCGCCCCGGCGCGGCAGGGCCCGCCGGGCGGGGGCCGCGGGGCCCGGGGGAGCGGGCGGCGAGGGCGTTCGAAAGCTGGGCGGGAGGTGGAGGAGGGGGAGGAGGAGGAGGAGGGGGAGGAGGAGGGGGAGGAGGAGGAGGAGGAGGAGGAGGAGGAGGAGGAGGAGGAGGAGGAGGAGGAGGAGGGCTTCCCGGAATGAGGCGCGCGGCACGCGAAACAGCCCACGGGCTCCTTCCCGGAAGGACGAGGACAGCTTCCCGGAGGTCGATTTTAGCAGCCACGGATTTGGCAGCCCTTGCCGAGGAGCGCGGGCGGGCGGCGAGGGCACCGCGGGCGAGAGCGCGGCCGCCGAGCTGCGAGGGCGGGAGCCCGAAGCTGCCGGGAGGCCTCGAGGAAGAGAACGGCGGCCTCCGAGAAGGCCGCGAGAGGGTCGGCGGGGCCCCCAGGAGGGGCCCGAGAGGGGCCCGCGAGAGAGGCCAGAGTGTTTGAGTGGCCCCAAGAGGGACCCGAGATGGCAAACGTGAGGTCATGACGCTCCCAGGCCAAAAGATCCACGAAGATATGTATGGTTGGCACCCTTTTCCTTTTCAGGCTGATCCCAAACTTCGGTTGAACGACTACCTCTGACACCCTCTTTGTTCCACTGCTTGCTACGAGGCCTCCAAAGAGGCCCCCCCAAGAAGCTCCACAACAGACGCGGAGGAAGACAACTCAGAAACAACTAGACAGAAGCAGCACAACGGGAGGAGGCAAATAACGTATACGAGATCGGAAGCCGCACATCTCCTCGCCTGGGGGTCGGCGGACTGTAAGCCTCCTGAACAAGGCATGAAGAATTCTCGGGCGAGAGCACGATTCTCGAATACATTGCGGGAAAATCTCGAGCGCCAGCGCGATTCCAAAATAGCTTGCGAGGATGTCCTATACGAGAGCCGGTATTGTTGTTGTTGGTGGTGGTGGTTGATACAGTTGTTGTTGTTGCTGCTGTTGATGTTGCTGCTGCTGCTGTTGTTGATGGTGTCGTTGGTGTTGTTGCTCTTGTTGTTGTAGACGGGGGGGCGGGGTACTGCGTGACAATCGAGAGATTCCCTTAAGCAACGATTTGCGCAACAAACCAATGCGAGAGGCGATGGGGGGCCCTTCGATTACAGAAAAACGGGCGCTGGTGAGAGGAGGTCAACAAGATTCAGTCAGTTTCAGACCGCTCGCGCTTCATTGCCCGCGTGTCACTCCTCAGCACGTATACCCAAACACACTCGAACTCCGCCCACTTCGACTCCTCCAAATGAAGCCAGCAAATCCCCCATTCGCCACCGTGCATATTAAAAGTGCATGCGTGTAACTGTACCCAGAAAGAGAGGGCGTGAGAAAGAGAGAGAGAGAGAGAACGACAGACAGACAGACAGACAGACACATCAGGGCTTGAGCTAAACAGTGTTTGTGGTGCTCGTTTTGGTTTTGCGTTCCGTCGTTATGTCTTCGTTCTGCCTTTGCTGGAAAAAGAAATAAAAACGAAAACAGTCCACGAAATGGCAAAAACACGGTTTACGTAGCTCGAGTCTTGGGACAGACAGACAGACAGGCAGGCAAGCAAGCAAGCAGACAGAGAGCGGAGCTCCAGACCGCGTTGACATGACGACGCGCAGCACGCCGTGCATCTCCGAAATCGCCCTGTCGAGCCAGGTCTGCAGCTCGCCGGCCACGACCCCCTGCGCGGACCGCGGGGGGAGGGCGCGAGGGAGGCAGGCGTCCTCCTCGTCCCCATCCCATCCCCATCTCTTCCTCCTCTCCTCCTACTGCTGCAACTGCCCTCCTCCTCCTCCTCCTCCTTCTCCATGCTTGTCCTTCTTCCTGCTGGTCCTCCTCAACCTCCTCCTCCTCCCATTCCTCGTCCGCCTGTTCATACCCTTCGTCCTCCTGTGTGTTCTCCCTCGCTCCGTCCCTCCCCGCTTCTCCTCCCCCCAACTCCCTCCGTCATGCCTCCTTTCTCCCAGTCCCTTGATCCCTCCCGCTTCTCCTCCGCCCTCCCTCGTCCATGCTCGGTCTTCAATCCCTCATGCACTCGTCCTCCCATCCCTCTCCCCCCTCCTCCTCCTTCGCCTCCGCCTCTTCCTCCGCCTCCTCCTCCGCCTCCTCCTCCTCGTCTCCTCAAGCAAGGGCTCAAACATACTTGTTCACTTCGGCAGGCTCGAATCGGGTTGTGTACCCGCCCCTGGGTCTCCGCGTCGGGGCTAGGGGCCATGCCGTTGACGACCGCACGCGACGATGACACATACAGAGACGAACATGACCATCAGAGCTGGTGTTTCAACTGTGCGCTTGCTACAGCTGTACAATGGTCGGAGCAATGCATATGAAGGAGTCCCTGGCATGGCAGTTCATGTTCAGATAACACAATATCAACGAAGGGATAGCAAACAGCTGCGGATCAACTGCGTAGAAACCTAACAGACGTTGTCGGCGGCGAGGACAAATCTTTCCTCGGCTTGGCACCTCCTCCTCATCATCCTCTCGCTCCCAATGCAGTCAGGTGAAGCTTTCAGCGACCGTAGCCGTCAAAGTGAGCTCCGAGACTCATGTTACCACCAACACCGACATCGAGAGTCATCTTCCCCCTGTGGAGGCAACACCCTGTGTTGGTGCTGGTGCCCATCTCTGGGCCTCCCATCGCCTCCTCGCTCCATCCTTACTCCCGGGTGTCTCGATGAGCGTGCGGGGAGGTTCCCCCCCCGACGGGGGTCCACCTCGCCTCGCTGCGCCGCGACGGGGGTCGGAGCGCAGTCGGCGCGCGGTGGCTGCCGTGCTTCACACGAACGCTCCATGTGCTCATCTCCACGAGGTCCTAACCATGGGACATGCAGTGAAATGTTCTGCCGCATCGGCCCGGGTGCCGCTACGCAGGACTCGGCCACAGGCCGGCGGGCCCGCAACGCACTGTATCTGTCCCAAGTCCCCCGCAGCTGCGGATAAGCGTGAGGTGGCGCCCGGTCTGCCTGCCATGGGCGCCGGCCTGCACCAAAACCGAACGCGGGCGCGTGTTCCCCTACAGGGGGATTGTCGACGAAAAATAAAAATATTCAAACAAAGAAAAAAAAAATATATATATATATATGTATATATATACACCAAAATGGCCAAAAAATTATCAAACAATAGTCACCAGTGGGCCCGGTGCAGGCACCCACCCGTTCGAAGCAGCTGCCCTGGTTCGCAGGGCGCGTCGCCGCACGGTCGCGCGGGTGGGGGCGCACAGCCGCGATCTCCACGGGCAGTGTGCAGCAGCCCCGCCGCAGGCGCTGGTCTCTGCTCCTGCAAGCAGTGCGGCTGTCGGCGGAAGCAGTGTCGCGGGGAGGTCACAGGGCGCCTCGGCGTCCGGTCGCGCGGGCTACAGTAGGGGCCCGACCTCAAGAAGCCTTCCACAAGAAACCCAGCCCTGAGGCCCCAAGGCGTCCACGGATGTGTGGTGTGGGAGCACCCCGCTGTCCACAGCAAGACCATCAAAACCTAAGAGACCCGGGGCACCCTGGAGGCAAGCAGGGTGGTTCCTGGCAGGGGCCTCCCCTGCAGGGTGCACAGTGGTGCTCTCCAGGGGCCGTGCAAGACAGCCCGCCGCGAGCGGGCGGCTCGCGGCACGCGTGGGTTGCGGGTGGGCCGCGGTCGGGCCACGGGGCGGGTCGCGGGGCGCGGGGCGGCGGCGACGACGGCGGCATGGAGATCCGCTCTGCGGGGCTCCCTGCTTGAGCCGCGCACCAAGGGGCAGTGGGAGACCGGTCGGCCCCTCGCTCTGACCTCCTCCTCCTCCTCCTCCTCCTCCTCCTCCTCCTCCTCCTCCTCCTCCTCCTCCTCCTCCTCCTCCTCCCTCCCTCCTCCTCCTCCTCCTCCTCCTCCCTCCTCCTCCTCCTCCTCCTCCTCCTCCTCCTCCTCCTCCTCCTCTCCTCCTCCTCCTCCTCCTCCTCCTCCTCCTCCTCCTCCTCCTCCTCCTCCTGTCACGGGACTGGACCCCCAGCCCGGGGCGTAGTCCTGGTTGCACTGCTGCACGGCCATCAGGATGGCCTCGCCCTTGCTGGACACAGACGAGGCCTCGGGCACGAGGAGGCGGACTGGAAGAAGGCAGAGGAGAAGGAGGAAGAACGAAGGAGAGACGGAGGGGGAGGTCCTGGAGTCAAGGAGCCCCAGGGCATACTTTTCCGTCTCTTCGGGCAGAAGACGGGGGCTGTGAGCCTGGCATCCCAGTGGCTCTCGCATTTGGAATCTCCACAGGGCGAACTGGTCGCGACGTCAAAGAAGCACCAGGGGAGCCGAGACGACGACGTGGTCGGTCACAAAAGCAAGGCTCTCCCGACCCCTTACGATCTAGCGCGACAGGACCCCCTCTGACACCAGAGCCAACTGGGCAACCCGAAACGTCCCAAACCGCCACAACAAAAACATCCGAAACGCTCAATCCTCAGAATCCTCAGAATCCTCGAGCCTCGACCCTTGATCCTCGACGACGACGACGACGACGACGACGACGAAATAAAGAAAGAAAGAAAGAAAGAACGCTGCATTGCTTTTGCAGCCAGGTGTAGGCTAGAAGACCCAGTTCCTGGGTCACCAAATGGAGTCCATTCGAGCGACGACTCGGAAAGTGAGTGGCCCCTTGCTCTGACATCGGAGGGGGGATTCCGAGAGGAGCGTGAGGTGCGAGGTCAGTCCTGAGATCGATCGCCGTGTTGCAGAGCCCGTCAAAGCTGCCAGGGCATGGCCCGATCGGGATCGGATGCTCATCCACTCTCTGGCCAAGAGGGTTGGCACCATGGTCTGCGAGGCCGCAGCCAGGCCAAGCGCAGCCCAAAAAATGAGTTCGTTTAACCGATCCCCATCCCCAGCGGCGTGGCCTGGGCCGCTCTGGCCGATTCACCCCCCTGGATGGGGATGTGGGTCGTTCCCTTCGGGCTTCGAGGGGTGTATCCCCAACTGGGGTGGTAATTTGGCGGGGGTCTCGAAGGGGATGGGGATGGGGATGGGGGTCGTTTCAACGATACTGAACAAAGGCTGCGGCCATGTTCTGCCAGTAGGTGGACACCATGTCCAAGGACGACCCCATCGCCCCGCCGAACTTGGCCTGGCGGGGCACGGCATGGGGGACGCCATCGCTCCTCCATCCCTGTCCCTTATGGATAAAACTCCTCATTGCACCGGCCTTGCAGACGTGCTGCAGCGGAGTTCTGCGGGGATTTCTGCGTGGATGTTTGCCCGAAACGGCGAACGACAAACGAGATGAATTTCGCGTGGATTCTTTTTGGTCTTCACTCCTGGCCAACAAAATCCGCACGAAATTCACCTCGAAATCCGGAACGAAATTCTCCAGGACACTCCGGGCCCACCCTATCGTTTTCCGAACGAAATCCGCTCTGCGATGTTGGCGCCATGAAAACTCCTCCCTGCCGCACACCGAGGCCGGTCGAGAGGGCGGGACGGGCGTTTCACCCGAGACTTCCTCACCACTCGTGACCCGGAGGCTTCAAAATTGGCAACCGCTTCACAGACGGAGGGCGGGTCGTTAGCAACATGTGGCTCGCGCATTAGCGCCGTGCACACTCGCCTTAAACATCTGCACCAGTTTCGCGGACGGAGGGCGTGTGGTTTTCAAAATATTGCTCTCGCCTGAGCGCCGACCACGCTCATCTTGAAAATGTGCAAGAGGTTTACAGATTCAGGACGGGTGGTTTTCAAACTGTGGCTCTCGCCTTGGTGCCGTTCACACTCGTCCGAAGATGTGCAACGAGAGGTTCACAGATTGAGGACGGGTGGTTTTCAAACTGTGGCTCTCGCCTTGGTGCCGTTCACACTCGTCTGAAGATGTGCAACGAGAGGTTCACAGATTGATGGCGGGTGGTCTTCAAACTGTGGCTCTCGCCTCAGTGCCGACCACACTCGTCTAAACAAGTTGCAAGAGCTTCACGGACGGAAGGCGGGTCGTTATCAACATGCGGCTCTCGCCTGAGCGCCGACCACACTCGTCTTAAACATGTGCAAGAGTTTCACAGATCAAAGGCGGGTGGCTTTCAAAATGTGGCTCTCGCCTTGGCGCCGACCACACTCAGCTCAAAACGTGCAACAGGAGGTTCACATGTTGAGGGCGGGTGGCTTTCAAGATGTGGCTCTCGACTTCGGGTCGCGCACATTCGTCTCAACAAGATGCAAGAGTTTCACGGATTGAGGGCGGGTGGTTTTCAAAATGTGGCTCTCTCCTTAACGCCACGCACACCCATCTTAAACATTTGCAAGAGCTTCAAGGATTGAGGGCGGCTGGTTTTCAAAATATCGCTCTCGCATTAACGACGCGCACTCTCGATCTAAAGATGTGCAAGAGTTTCACGGAATCCCATGGTGAACGTACCAGACACGGTGTTTCGGAAGGATTCAGGACTGTGAGGGTGCATCAGTTAGGTTGATTAGCGGTGTTGAAGTCCCAGGAATGCTGATCTGGGACGATTCAGGATCATCAAGACGCAACGGTTAGGTTGATCCGTGGCCTTGGAGTCCCGAGAATCGTGGTTTGGGCATGCTTCAGGGTCGCCAAACGGTTCTCCCAACGAGACAGTACCCTCAGTGGAAATGAGCCCTTGTCGGGGTCTGTGAAGAGGGAGCTTGGAGGGAGGAGGGAAGGTCTGTTTCAACATCGTTGATGGGTCCCGGGTTTACACTGGCCCTCCTCCTCCTCCGCCCCCCCCCTCCTCCTCCTCCTCCTTCTCCTCCTCCGCCCCATCCTCTTCCGCGGCAGCACACAGTCAACCCAGATAGGAAGGATGCGCGGCAAGGCTGCAGGGGCATTGCAGGGCAACGCTGCGGCCGACACATCCTGCGGGCCCCCGGCGGCCGAGGCTGGGCTCCGAGAGGGCAGGCTGCAAAGGGCAGCCTCGGAGAGTGGCTCCTCATTGCTGCGCGGGCTGACTGCGGGTGCAACAGGCAAGACGTGCTCACTCCACGGCACAGGCCGGGCAAGGCCCCTCCGAGGCGGGCCGGGCAAGATCCCTCCGAGGCGACCTCCGAGGCGACCCCTCCAGACCATCCGGAGCAGGCCAGGTCAGAGCCCTCCGAGGCGACCCCCCGCCACGTCGCTCCCCGTCCCCGGCGTCCCCTCCGCGCTCCCTGCCCGCCACTCCGCTCTCCTCGGGTATCCTCGCAGTCCCCTCCTGCCCATGCCCCTCCCCATCCCCTCCTGCCCCTCCCCCTCCCCTCCGCTCCCCTCCCCTCCCCTCCCCTGCTGCCCATGCCCCCTCCCTCGCCTCGAGTACCTCGCAGACTCCTCCCACTCCCTCCCCCGTCCCTTCCCCCCTGCCCATCCTCCTCCCCTCCCCCCGACTGCCCAGGGGCGGGAGTCGTCTTCCAGGCTGTCCAGAGGGCCGCCCCCCCCCCAGTCAGGAACGATGCTCCCTGTTCCTGATCAACTCCCCTGGCGTTTTCGGGCCCAGCCGCCGTAGAAGAAAGTCCTCCGTTCCACGCCCATGCCCCATCCTTCCCGCCCCTTTAACTCCTACGTCGGGTGCCAGGGGGAAGCGCTCCGCTACTCCCCCGTGGCGCAGCTGGGCGGGCCAGAGGAAGAGGACGAGGACCTCGACTCGACCCGAAGGGGCGCGACGACAGGCACATCGAGAGGCAGCAGGGCGACGAACCCGCTGGAGGAGTCCCTGAGCGCACCAAGGTCCACCAGATTGTATCACGCGCAGGGGGGCACTACCCACGAAGAAAAAGAGGAGGAGGAGGCGGTGGAGGCGGAGGGGGAGGCGGAGGCGGAGGCGGAGGCGAAGCGGGGGCGGAGGAGGAGGAGGAGGAGGAGGAGGAGGAGGAGGAGGAGGAGGAGGAGGAGGAGGAGGAGCGGCTGCCGCGCACTCCCGTGCCGCTCCGCCGCCTCTGCCCGGCGGATGTCGCTCCTGCCCCGAGCGCCTGCCCTGGCCGCCGCGGCCCCCCGGGCGCCGCGGTCGGGCGCCGCGGGCGCTCGGCCTCCTGCGCTGCTTGGCCCCTGCTTGGCCCGCCGTGGCTCTCCCCCAGAGGCCTCCCCGACGGCACTGCCGCCCCGCGGGCCCTGAGGCCCTCGGGGCTGGGCCGCGGCTGCCCGGCCTCCTCGGGCCTCCAGCTGCCCGGCCTCCCCGCGGCCTCCCGCTGCCCTGCCGCCGGGCGCTCGGGGCCGGGCCGCGGGGCCCGCTCCCCGGCCGCGCACGCGGGGCCCCCCAGGAGTGGTGCGAGCCCGCCGCCTGGTGTCCACGCGATGGCACCATCGTGGCGTGCCCCGCCGTGCGCATGTTTCGGCCCACGTGGCCGCAAGAGTGAGAGAAGCGGCGCCAGAAGCCTCAACCTGCGGAGGTCCGGGCGGATCTAGTGGATCTGCGCTGAGCTCCCTCCTCTGGCGCGCGGAGCGCGCCAGGAGCGGCGCCCGAGGCGCCTACGAGGGGAGGCCCCCGCCTGCCACAGAAACGAAGAAGTACCGATACAGATACTCCCCGGGCATCTCCCGGGGTGCGTCCTGACCAGGATTTCGAGGCGAATCCAGCCGTGGCGACGAGGGACCCCCAGGAGGCCCAAGTCGGCGAAAATAAGGGAGGGTTAGCGATATCGGTACCTCTTCATCCTCAGGCTCGCCTTGAGATAAGTTCCCTGGGCGGCGCCCTGGGTTCTGACCTTTCTGTGTAAAACCGACAGCGGCCGCAGTTGAGCAGGCTGCCTTCTACCTCAAATGGACAAAACCCGCGGCGACAGCGACAGCGAGCCCTGCCCAAAATGAACAGGAACTGCTGTCGGTCTTGGTACCCATTCTTCTCGCACTCTGAAAGGGACAATAATCGCCTCCCCCTTGGATCCTCGGGGGGGGGGGGGGGGGGCACGTGCTGCCAGGGGTGGAGGGGGGTTGAAGGAAGAGGAGGAGGGAGGGGGGGACGTAGCAGGGGACATGTCGACCCCTATCCCAGGCTTCGAGAGGTTTTCGAATGGACCAGAAGTTGTGGGCCCAACCCTCGTATATGCGATAGCGGGGGCATCCACTCTCGAAAGAGAGTGCGTCCGAATTCCCACCTGGGCTATGCCTCTAGGCTTCCCAGTTTTTCTGAGCAGCCAGACAGTTCGGGCGGAACTCGGGGATTGGGGCAGAAACATCGCCTGCGAGGATGGGCCAGCTCCGTCAGAAGGTCCATCCCCCCCCCCCCCTTGACGAGTACGGTCGGACCCAAGACAGAACAGCATCCTTCAAGAACACGAGACCCTCCGCCGGCCAACACACACACACAGAACATGTCCGAGGGCACCCTTACAACAGGGGAAGGATCGGGGTAAATCGCGCCAGAGCGCTCCAGAGCGCTCTCAGAGCGTTCCGGAACGCTCTGGAGCGGCCGCGGCGGCCAATACATCCTCCAAACCCGCCCATCCTCAGAGATTTCGAGTCATCCCGATCCGATGTTGTCCCGATCTTCGCGCCGTTTTCACCCCTCCCCAGGAGGCACAGACCTGGACGGCAGCCGTGAGAGGGGCAGGCGTGGGGCGGAGCGCCGGCTCCCGGGGGGCGGGGGAGGAGGAGGAGGAGGAGGAGGAGGAGGAGGAGGAGGAGGAGAGGAGGAGGGAGGGAGGGGAGGAGGAGGAGGAGGAGGAGATCGCGCGCCGGGCGGAGCTCTCTCGGAGGTGCTCGCGGGGCCTCGGCGGCCTGCCTCGGCGGCGAGCGACCCTCCTCCTCCTCCTCCTCCTCCTCCTCCTCCTCCTCCTCCTCCTCCTCCTCGAGGGAGGGGAAGTGGGGCGGGCCTCCTCAGAAGGCGCGGGGGTGCGATCATCTTGCCTGCTGGGCGCAGTGCCACCGTCCCTTCCAGGAACAAGACAGCATGCAAGTCGAGTCCAAATCTGGATCGAGACGTCCCCCGGAGCCTTCTGAGAGGTTGCCTGAGCCTGCCCCGGAGGCACGCAGGAAAAACTTCTCGGAGGGCGCGAGGGCGTCCGAGAAGCCCCGCCGCCCCTTCTCAGAAGGCATGCTCCTTCTCGATCGCCCCCTCGCTCGCCGCCGACCTCTAGCCTCGGGGTGCTCTCGAGCGGCTGCGACTCGCAGAGCGTGCCAGGGGGGGGGGGCCCGGGCTGTCCCCAACGGCTGCCCGAGGCCTGGGTTACCAGGGGGCCGGCTCAGGAGGGAGCATCGACCTGGAAGCGGCGATGCATCGCCGATGGGCCGGCGAGGTGAGCCCCCGAGAGCGAACCCGCAGGGGTCCCGGGCGGGGTGGGCCGTCGGGCCCCTGGTAGGCGGCCAGTGTGCGGTCGGGGGTGGATGCCTCCCCGCCTGGGCCTGTCCCCCACCACAGGGCAGGTTTCTTCAACATAGAGGATTTTTAATACATGAATTATGTATGAATAATATATCTATATGCATAAACCCACCCTTGCATGCATGAACCAACCCTGTAGTTTCGATACATGATCCGCGCGCGGAGCACGCATGAACAACGGCACTGCACTGCTGCCCCCGACCCAGGACCTGACGAGCGGCGAGCAGATCCGCATCCGCGACGCCGCGGTCCAGACTCTGGGGCGCGATCCCGCGGCGACGCGGGATCGCGCGGCTACGCGCTCCGCGCGCGGGCTGCTCGCGGAAAAAAAGACGCCCCGCAGACGCGGCGTCGAGGCCCGGGGGCCCCGCCCGCGAGGCCGCGGACACGGAGATGCTTCCCGCTCACGGGGTGGGCAAAGAACCCACCTGTCTGGAGCCCGTGTGCAGCGGGCCTGGCCATCGCTCGGACGTCCATTCCCTGTGCTTTTTTCGGCTTCGTGCTTGGTTTTTTTGCCAAATGATCAAGGATGCTCCTCGATGGTCCTCGCCGAAGGAAAAATGCACACGTCCGAGTGATGCCAAGCGGCCTGCCTGGCAGTGCAGGCGAGCAGCCTGCGGCGAGAAGCAGCACCGCGGCTCCCAGGACGCACCGCGCCGAGAGGGCGGAGAGCGCACCGCACAGGCGGAGGTGGACGCCGTCCCGGCCCAGACCTGCTCGCGCCGTGGACCACACCACGGGGAGGCTTCGGCTGCTCTCGGCCTCTGGCGGCCCCGGCCGGGCCCCGTGGACCGTCAACAGCGCGACCCGGGTGGAAGAGCACTGGCTCTGGGGACAGGGATCGGGACTCCAAGGGGACCCCGCAGGGGAGAGGCTGGGACATCGCAGGTCTGGAAAGCCAAAGGCGGCCGCGGGGCACTCCAGGATGGCGCGAAGGTGTCCCTAAGAGGCCGCCAGGAAGCCCTGGACAGGCCTCCGAGGAGCCATGCAGAGAGCTCATGGGAGACGAAAACCCCCGATACCAGGCATTACGGCACTCCAGGCCCGCGGGGAAGCAGCTGTCGCACAATACGGCCCCCTCTGAACCGTGGAAGAGGGGTACTACATGCTGTGGCCATACGTGGTCTAGGAAAGAAGAGGTGTGAAATGTTATTGTCCTCTGGGCCTGGAAGCCTCGAGATATGGCCTTCTCGAGCCTGCGAAAGTACGTACAAATATTACCGCCGTCTGGGCCTATAATGAAAGCAACGAGCTATAGCCTTCGCGAGCATGCAGAAGAAAGTACATATGTTACGGTCCTCTGGCACTAAGGACGGGAGCTGTCGCAGATTCTGGCCTCATGAGCAGTCCTAATACTTCGAAGGTTCGCCACACGAAGTGCTGCATTGGCACTCTAGTAGAACTTGTCACAAGCACCTGGACGCGTCATAATGAAAACTCTATCGAACCAGTGGACCTGCCTCAGGGGGGGGGGCAGGGAGAGGGATGGGGAGTGAGTGGAGAACGGCGAGACCGAAATGGGAGAAAAAGGGCTCGACTCCCACTGGTGCACACGGTGGCATCAAACCACCCCCCCGATGAGCAATCCGCGTGGCTCACCCTGCCATCCCCCCTCACGCATCCTCCCCCCCTTCATCCCCTCACATTCTCTTTGCCCCCGCCTCCCTCTGCCCCCTTCCCCGTCCCCCTCCCATATACTTTCGCGCCCCCACTCTGATCCCCCTCTCCTGCTTTCGAAAGGATTCCCAATATCTGAGACGTCTGAATATGAGACGGGCGCTACACGCTCTTCCGTCAGGGGATAAGGTTCACCTAGCCTGGGGCCCGGTGCACAGGAGCCACTGTATAAATGTGTCAGAACCTAACACTTTGGTTGTGCGGGGTCTGCGACTGCCATGTCATGCGAAAGCAACACCTACGTGAGAAGACATGTAAGACGAAGTCGCCGAGGTGTATGGCACAAAGCCCTGAGTAAAATGAGATGGCGACCCGACAGGACCCACTGCGGAGTTCCGCCCTCTGCTGCTGTGCCTCGCTCTGCCCTCCCCTCCTGCATCCTCCCGCCTCCATCCTGCTGATCCTGCTCATCCTCCTCCTCCTCTTCCTCCTCCTCCTCCTCCTGCCCCCCCTCCTCCTCCTCCTCCTCCTCCTCCTCCTCCTCCTCCACCTCGTGCATCCTCCCTCCCCAGTCCCCCCCTCCGCCCGTTGCCCCGGAGGCGCCAGCACGACGGACGGGTCCGCGTCGTGCAGGCCGTCGGCGAGCAGGCCCTTGCCCTCCAGCACGTGGGCGAAGAGGCTGTCCGCGTCCGACTGGCGGGCGGGACAAGTGCGGGGTGTTTGAACAGTCGGGGATGGACAGACCCCCCTTTAGCAAAACGTGGTTTAGTGAAAACGACCTGAAGCCCAAACCTGGCGGGCGCAAGCCTGGAAAATAACGGCCACGGCGCCCTCACGAAAACCGAAAACGGACAATTCACTAATCGACGTGTCACTGTTGGGGGTTCTGTCCACCCCCGAAACAGACGACCGACGGAGCGGCGCCACAAAAGGCAGCCCTGCAAAGCAGGGAGACGAGAAGGAAAGATTGCAATAGCAGCCACAGGGCCAGTTGCAGCAGCAAGCGCTCGTGCTGCAGGAGCTCGAGTCGTAACCGTAGCACCCGGGCGAACTCTGACCCTCGTGCGGGCAAGAGCCTGCCTTCCGTGCAGCATTGGCGGCGTAGCCGCATGATCGTAGCCTCCTTAGAACACTGCGAGAACATGTGTCCCGAAACTCACCTTCGTGCGGTCGTGATTGGTGGTTGCACTCCTTGGAAAGTCCTGCGGATGCCTTGTGCTATCTGGATGGGGACCGTCGGATGCCCTAAACATCGTTCCGACTCCTGCAGAAAGTACCCCAGTTCCTGTGCAAGGCCATCGGAGTCCTGAGGAAATTGTTTGGAAGCTGTAGAAACGTCAAGATCCCGCAGTTATGGTAAGGACATGTAAAGATTATGTAGAGATCCTGGGGATTCATCGTGGATCCTTTGGGCGATTCTAGAATGTGGCGGAATTCAGGAAGATGTCTCAGGATGTGGCAAATATCCTTAAACTCGTCAGATTTCTGGCCTCTGAAGATGTCGTCATGGTTCCTCAGGGTACCTCACCGTCCCCAGGAATCACTAAGAATTCCTCTGAATTCCGCAGGATGCTTCGGGTGCCATCAAGAGGCCCGCTAAAATCCAGAAGATCCTCTGGGCTGCCCTTGGGAAACGGAACCCAATAAAAATCCGCCGAATTCCTCTGATATCTTCAACACACTGAAGGAAGTATCAACAATCCGTTCTGCGTCGAGATCTCGATTAAGCAAAATTCGTTTAATCCGAGACCCAGAAGCATGGAACCCAAGCCTGCCATCCGGGCTGCCTTCGTGTACCGCCAGACAACAACCTTATGAGAACAGGAAGGGGAACTACACGTGTAAACCTCGTGCTCGCGAGGTCGCATATCTCGATCGTGCTACCACAAATGTCGCGACAAAATCCTGCACTAACAGCACAGTCGTTATATCCCCGAAACAGCGAAGATGCACGCAGAGGATCTTGGTCGGTCCTCGAAATACTTGGCCTGCGTTGCCGGGCTGCTGCCCGGGGCCAGCCGGCGCGCGCCTGTGGGTGTTCGCCAGGTGCCCGCCCGGGCCAACATCGTGCCCGCCCCATGCGCTGGCCGGCGTTCCTCGGTGCTCGTCCGGTTCCTGCCCGTGCCGGCCTCGGGCCCGCCCCTGGTACGCCGACTGGCGTCTCGATCGCAGCACGTCGGTGCCTTTGTTCCAAAGACTTGACGGATCCCCGATGCTGAGTCCAGGCTCAACGGCACCCCTACGCGAAGCGATGTTCAACAGAGCTTGTTCGCTGTACCGCTCATCCGACACACGGAGCCAGACCGTGTGCCAGCAGAACGGGCATCGATTCCCCCCGCCGCAGCAATCTCCCACCAAACATCTCGAACGGGCCACCCGCGCGGGCCCAACTTGCGCGCGCCCCACGCGGGCGCACGTCGAAAGTGCTACGAAACAGTGAAGTCCCAACGGATTGTCCAGTGACTCAGCGCTTGCCCCTCGCTGAAAATATCATCCTCTGCGCGCACGCACTCGCTACGCACGGGTGCCCCGACTGAACCGTCCACCTCAGCTCTGGCTGTGGCTCCGCCCTGCCCTTCAGGTTAAGAGAGCGGAGGGTGAGCCTCTTCTGGTCAAGAGCGGAGGGTGAGCGGTGTGGTGCTGCCGCCGACGGCTCATCGTAAACACCATCCTCAAGGCACTCGCTACGCACATTGGTGCCCCGACAGAAACGTCCGCCTCAGCTCTGGCTGTGGCTCCGCCCTGCCCCCGCGCGGCGGCGGCGGCGCCGGCGGCGAGGGGGCGGCGAGGGAGGCGCCCGCGGGCCCGCCTCCAGCGCGCCCAGCACGCCCTTCAGGGCGCCCGCCACCTGCCCCGCGGCGTCGGCGGCCCACTCCTCGGCGGCGGCGGCGCGCAGAGGGGCGGGCCTCGCCATCGCTCTCGGACGCCCTCCCCGGACCCCCGACGTCGTGACTTCTGCACGGCGTCGACCCCCTCCTCCTCCTCCTCCTCCTCCTCCTCCTCCTCCTCCTCCTCCTCGGACGCCCTCTCCAAGACCTCCGGACGCCGTGCCTTCTGCACGGCGTCGGCCCCCCGATCGGCTGCACGTAAGAGTGACCCCTGGGTAAGAGTGACCTCTGGTGCGCGGCGTTTTTTGGGCCGCGGGGGAGCCAAACACAAGCGCGCAAGACGCCACTGCCGCCTCGCGTTCGGCGATCGGGGACCCCAATGGGCCCGCACCAAAGGTCACTCCGGCGAAGGGTCAGTCTTACGTGCAGTCGACCAGAGGCCTGGACCCCTTCCCCGGGACCCGTCTCCCATCCCGACCGACGTTTCGACGGCCCCGAGGCCCGGGAAGGGCCCCCTGAGGCCGCAAAAATGTGGCGCAGGGCCTCCCGCCGCGAGTCTGGCTCACGGCGCCAGGGGGCCCAGGGCCTCTGAGTGCCTCCCTCGGCCTCGTGCGCGCACGCTCGCTTCGCAGGCCGGCCCCAGAATACCCCACGAGGGTTGAGCAGGGACCGACCGTCCCGGCATTCCTATGGTCCTACCACGACATGTTCTCAGAATCCAACAGTGTTCTAAGAACACAAGCTATGTTCTCAGAACATAAACCCGATGTGGTAAAACAAGACAGACCCCGCCAGAAAGGTTCTAAGAACATCTCGTGGAGACCACAAAAGATTATTAGAACATTGTTTGATAAGGTTACAGGCGAGCCAGGACGCTTCGCCACTGCTTGACCTCGGCCTCGTGCACGCACGCTTGCTTCGCAGGCCGGCCCCAGCATGCTCCACGAGGGTCCCCGCCAGGCACGGTGCACACGCCCGAGCGACGCCGAAGGGCCCAGGCACCTCCTCCGCCTCCGCCTCCGCCTCCGCCTCCGCCTGCCCCTCCTCCTCCGCCTCATCCCCCCCCTCCTCCTCCTCCTCCTCCCCCTCCTCCTCCTCCCCCTCCTCCTCCTCCTCCTCCCCCTCCTCCTCCTCCTCCTCCCCCCCCTCCCCCTCCTCCTCCTCCTCCCCCTCCTCCTCCTCCCCCTCCTCCTCTCCCTCCTCCTCCTCCCCCTCTTCCTCCCCCTCCCCCTCCTCCTCCTCCTCCGAGGGGCGGCACCCCCGGGCGGAGAGGGGCCCCGGCGGCCGAGCGGCGCCGCGGGGAGAGCCCGGGCGGCCCCGCCGCGCCGCGGAGGACACACGCAGCACGGGGGGGGCTGCCGCCCGACATGTCCGGCTGCCTACCGGCCCACCCCAAGCCAACCCGAAGATCCGAATTTCGGGTTGGGGGGGGGCACAGTCGGGGCCTTGACCTAGGGAACCCGAAATAAGGAGCGGGGCCCCTTTCTCCCATAAGTTGAACTTCGATTTCCCTTGGAAAACCTCAGGAAAACACAAGGCAAACTGTAGAACAATCAAGGAACACCGAGCCCCTCCCCAACGAAAAGGGTTCCTTCTGCAGGGCCCCGGCTGTGAGGGTTCCACACGTGTTTTCTCGACGTTCCCCGACCCCCCCCACTCCCCACTGGAGATCGAGGGTAAGTCTGAGCCTTCGGGTTGGGTTGGGGTGGTTTGGTGGGTGGTGAACGTCGGGCCCCCGGGGGCCCTCACCGTGGGCGTGGCCCGGCCGACCCCTGGCAAGCCGATTTCCTTCCGTGGCGTCCTCCTCGCCCTTCGAGCTGCCCTCCGGCCGCATACGTACTTTTTGGGGCGAGGCGAGGGGGGCGTCATGGGAAGGGGATGGTTTGCCAGGGGTCGGCGAGGCCGCCCCTGATCACTGTGCCCTGGGACCGCCAGAGAAAGACCTCGACAGGAAAGACCAGTACCAGGGACTGGGTCGAGACCTCTGGGGGGCCGCGTGGTGAAAAGACCTTGGCGCCGGGGGTCTGGGAGGGCAGGAAGGGAGGGAGGGAGGGAAGGGCAGTGAGAGGAGGAGGGAGCAGGGAGAGGAGAGAGGCAGGGAGAAGGGGGAGAAGGCAGAGGAAAGAGAGGAAGGAGGGGCGAGGAGTCACGGGAAAGGTACTCTCCATCAACGGAATGGCTGTACAGGTGCGCTCGCACGCGACGCACTGACGAGCGGCCGCATGTAGCCCCAAGCGACCCCCATGTACGAATGATCGCCAAGTACTACTCCTCGGCAGAAGTCAACAAGAATTGAATGCTGCAGTCCTGCAAGTGGTATTGATGCTACTCGTGCCACGCCTCTAATATTTCACATAACCATCCACCCACTCGACCTCCGTCCCTTCCAAACTAGGTATCCTTCCTCCTTGTCCACAGCATCATCATCAGCAGCAGCAGAAGCAACACCACCACCATACATCCCCAGGACGAAAGTTTTTTCCTCTCGGGCCTGGAAAGACGGTGTGAAGTCTTGAGCAGAACCCGTATGATATAACCGCCGTCGGATCTCATGAAGCTCGCGCGGATCCAAATTTGGTTTTCGTGTTTGTTTCGGTGGATCCGATTTCCGTCCGTACGAATCCGATTTCGGATTAGCTGGATCCGTGTCCGGTCTTATTTTTTACGGCGGATCCGATTTCTACCCTGTTTTAAAGTTGTATTATTACATTAAACCAGGGAGCCAGAAGAAATCGGATCCGCGGACCCCGCAAACCGCCCGTGTTAAGATTACATGGGGAGGGGGGTTCGGTAATCAATTTTCCACGATGGGCCCTGTGTCGTCTCGCGCACTCCCATCAACTCCCCGCGCGAGCGGGCTCCATTCAACATGAATACATACATACATCCCCTCCAATTGCTGCAAACAGCTCGTCCGGTCGCCGTCCGTTCGGCGGCGCCGACGTTGTCTCGCGAACTCCTCATGGCCATTTTCACCTCAAGTGCGCGGAGTGGGCGTCAGCCGAACGGACTGTGACATCATTTTGACTTGAGCCAAAGCGTCAACGACAGATCTCCAGTCATGATGCTGCTAAGCTGCTGCTGCTGCTCGTGCTGCTGTACACTATGCTACACAAGCCCCTCTGCTGCAGATGACCCTGCAGCTCACTACAACATCATACTACCATGCAGGACCCTAATGTGCCAGCCAGGTTTAGACTACATTACCCCTGACACACCAGAAACCGCCGCACCTCCTCTCGACTCGCGCATGTTCAATCGCAAGTCGATTCGGCATCTGTCAGGCTGTAGTCCTCGCGTGCTCAAGGCGCACGCATTCCGAAACGCACCGATGCTGCCCGATCTGCTTTGCAGGCCTGGCCAGGACTTAAACGCCCCAAGAAGAGCCATCGGCGCGAATCCACGTTCACAACTGCCTCACTCGCTTGACCCGAGGCCAGTGCTGAGGCCTCACCAGGCGCACCTGGTCGATCTCCAACAACTTCTGAACGCAGTGGCCCTTCAGCTTCGGGATCGCCTTCACGCCCCTGGTGAGCAGCTCCTCCTGCAGGTCCTTCAGCAGCCACTCCCAGTACGGAATGATCTCGAGCTCCTCCGTCTGCGTGGACTCCACATAGCGCCGTTCGCCAGTGGCGCTCCTCGGCGAGCAGCACCTTCCCACGGCATAGCCACACGCGAGCCCCAGGACCAACAAGAGCACGCCCATGCCGATGAGGGCTACCAGCACCCAGCTCTCGAAGACACTCCCGCTGGTCCGATCCATCGCCCCGTCGTACTTGACCAAGCCGACGCTGCAATCGTTTGCTGCAGTCGCCTTCTCCAACGCCGCTGCCGCGACCCAGCAGCCCCAGCCCCCAGGAGGCCGCAACGACGTAGTCTTCATCAACTTGGTCACCCTCTGTATGTCGACCATCTTGGTGCCCAGGTCCGCCTCGTTGGACTCCCCAGGCTTCACGCGCATCTCGATCGTGCCGTCTGCGCACAACTCTTGTAGCCACAACAGGCGCGCGTCTAGATGACGCACTCGACCCACGCCGCGTCTTGTGGCCATCGACCGTCCAGCCGACGAGTCCGCCTCGCAGATCACCTTCTTGACCCAGCCGTACTCGGCGAGCGCGCTCCTGACCTCCAACGCATGTGCAGCTCCTTTCGTTATCGATATGTACTCGCTCTCCGCCGTCGATAAGGCCACTATCTGTTGCGTCGAGGAATAGGCTTCGAGTAGATGGCTTCCGAGGTATACCCAGCCAGCAGAGGTAGAACGCAATGCCTCCAGCTCGCCTGCCCAGTTCGCGTCCGTGACCACTCTCACGTCCTCTGGCATCTTCTGGTAGTTGAACTCCCACACGAGCAACGGCACCTCCGAATAGTACTTGCACAACCGCTTGAGGGCACACCACGCCGATCTCGTTGGTGTCGACATGTAGCGAGCGACTTCCTTTGTCGCGTACTGCGCCTCGGGACGGTCTTGACCGACGTAGAGCGCCGTCCCCACGAGCGCTCGGTATAGCGCTGCTCCTTCTTCGTCAAGGGGGTCTGCAGCATCACGAGTCTTGCCCACCGTCTTGGAGCCCGGCGCGACCGTCACGACCCACTTCTCCTGGTCTAAGCGCGTCTGCCCGTCGAAGCCGAAAGCCTTGGCCATCGCCACGGTGTGAGTCGAGTCATGCGCCCATGTAAAACCCTTCGAACTCCATGAGAGCGTCCTGTGCAGGAACGCCGCACTGGACTTGCAGTTGGGCCCCACGCGCTCGCAGATCTTCACCTTGAACACTTCCCTCATCATCTGCTCGAGGTCGTCGGCGCTGTCGTTCGGCAGGGCGTAGATGAAGTCGTCGCCCCAGTGAACCCCCAGCGCCTCTAGCTCGCGACTCCAGTACAAGCACGGGACCACCGCGTTCCTGTCGAAGCCGTGCTCGCTCAGGTTGTCCGCCACGTACGTCTGGAACACCTGGCTCGCGTCCCTTGTCCCATATAGGCTCCGAAGCAGCCTCCACACCTTGCCCTTCTTGCGCAGGTCCTTCGGCGGTACCACGTACAGGACCTT